GCCAGAGGCCGCTGGCCCAAAAAGCACCCTTTGCCTGCTGTTGGAGGTCAATAAAAAGTTGAACGTGCCTGGAAAGCCTTTCCACGCACTCTCAGCAGGTCCGACTAAAAGTGGCATGCTCCGCTCTGGATACACGTAACGTCTTTAATGACGGATCATTGGAAGTGATTCCAGATCTGTGCTGGCGCAAATGACCAGCCCGCAGCCTCTCATGGCCCAAGCGCCTTCGAGCACGTCAGTGTCAATCGGTGGTGCCCAGGAGACCTTGGAACCCACGATGCAACCAGTGACCCAACAAAACATAATTTTAAATGTAGAGGGCGCAATCTACTGAAAGGACCTTGACTGGCCTTTGACCTCCAGGAAGTGTAACTGCTTGAAGTTTTTGAAGTCCACCTGAACGGTTTTGAGGCTTTGAATGTAAAACCAAAGCCCAGGTGTATTTTTAGGTGGATCCGGAACTCTAGAGCCTACCGGGGCCTATTGACCCCAAAGCTTTCAGCTGGGGGGGGCCACCTGCCACCCAAGAGGTTCCGCCAAGTTGAAGAAACGTGAACCAAAACGGAGATACCGCACAACAAACTATGATAAAAAAAAAAAACAAGTTTCGGTTTTTATCGTCCAAGAGAGTACCACGTTGCTGACAGACCGCAATATCAAACACTTGTGGATGACTTAGCACCCAGCAAATCATGGTTCACTTACGACCATCCCGTAAAAGAAGCTGAGGAGTTGTCAAGGGAAATATTGCGCTGGACCACTAGGACTGTTTTCTGGCCCATTCAAAGCCTCGGTGGGAATCGTTCGGGCTGTGCCAAATGGAGGCGACTAAACAGGGAGCTAAGTCCTTATGTACAGTAAACGAAGATAAAGGAGAAACGATTGTCTCTGAACAGCACAGTAGAGGCCATCTGATCAATATGATCCTCCATCTCGCAACTCATTGCAAGTCAGCAACTGACATTCAGGATCTCAAGAACTACACGCCGTGGCATACTTGATTGTCCTCGAAACTAAACGAGTGACTATCACCATGACCAACTAAAGTAGTTGACTGCAAACCAGTTCCCATCACCTGACCAATCGCGTTGTTGAAGCTCCTTGGTTGCCTGCACCCCTTTGAGAAAAATCTGACGACACAACCTCGCAAACCTCTTTCGTTGATATACCATAGTGCAAACAGAATTCTGCCAGCCGTTTTGACGTGGCATAGATATTTTTGGTTGTGGGGAGGGGGGGGGGGGCGCGGCATGAGCCGTCTAAAAGAAGGCAGCACAAAGACAGCTTGATCGCGATCCCAACAGACAATGTAACAAAGAACAATGAAACAACGAAACAAGGAAACAAGCAAACAGGCAACAAGGAAACAAATAAAGAATAGACAACAAACGACGAAAAAAGAAACAAAGAACAACATGACACAAAGCAACAGAGATCACATAAAAGCTACAAAGCAAAGAAGCACACAAACAAACAAAGAAACAAACATGCAAACAATTAAAATAGAAAACACACAAACAAGCTTTGCAACAGATAATCAAATACACTAACAAACAAAAAAACAAACAAACAAACAAACAAACAGACAAGCATAAACAAATCAAAACACAAAAACAAACAAGCAAGAAAACAAGAAAACAAGCAAGGCAAGCAAACAAACAAACAACAAACACAACAAACACAACAAACACAACAAACACAACAAACAAACCGACAAACATGACCACAATACAGAAATAAGGCAAGCCATTAACGACATAGCAACAACTAAAGAACACACCAACTATAAAGACACAATCAGGGAAAACACGACCAAATAAAGGAACACAAGAAAGAAAGAAAGAAAGAAAGAAAGACAAAAAAAAAGAAACGAAAGAAGGAACGAACGAAGGAACAAAGGCAAAACAGAAAGAAATAAACAAATAGAGAAACACACAAAAAAAGACGGAAAGAGGGGCCCGAAGGCAGACAGGCAGACAGAAAGCATGAACAAACATAAAAGTGACATGAAAAAAACTCGTAAAGAAACACATAACTATACAAGAAACACACAACCGACGCAGCAAACAAACAAACAAACAAACAAACAAACAAACAAACAAGCAAACAAGCAAACAAGCAAACCCATGCACCAACAACCCAAAAAACACATATCAACACACAAGCAAGCCAAGCCAAGCCAAGCCAAGCCAAGCCAGGCCAGGCCAAGCCAAGCCAAGCAAGCAAGCCCAGCAAGCAAGCCAAGCAAGCAAGCCAAGCAAGCAAGCAAGGAAAAACATTCACTTCGAAACTAGCACGCAAACAAAGTAACAAACAAAAGAAAACACACAGAAAACAAAAAGCAGAGAATGCCGCTCTCGCATTTACTCTCCGACTGAGGTCACTGCTGGACCGCCCAGGTGGTAGTCGTCCAGGTCTTGGTCCGTGAAGCTGAGATCCTGGACCTGGCGATGAGGTTTTTACCCCCAAATGAGTTTGTCTCAAAGTTGGATTCGGACCCTCAGAATTGTGTGTTTTTTTTGTTTCTAGTGTTAACCTTGACCACCCAAAAGAGGGTACCTTTTAAAGGCACACCTAAACGGGAACCGTGGAAACAAATTATGTGAACCTCTTTAGGCGCCAAAATCATGGGACGGCCACATGTGCTTTGGACTCAGCGCGGTGCTGCATTTCGATCACGTGCAACACACCGCCGACCATTGCTGGGCACTGACCAAGGTGAGTGGGTGGAAAGTCTACCTTCAAATCTTCCTAGCACCTCACATCATAAAACTTGTTCCTTTAAAGCCTGAAAGTCCTGGATCTTTGCCAAACAACAAAATGACCCAACTGTCTTGATTTTGGCTGGCTTCTGACTCCCTAGGAACAACCAACCATGCATTTTCTCAGTTCCAAATCCAGGGCTTCTCTTGTAGTTGTGTATCGATTTTCCCCTTGAAACAAATTTGTCCCTTTGGTTGACCTTTGTGACAAAACAAGTTGGGATTCCAACACCCACACCGAGAACACGTCCGATTCATCCGAAAGACGGTGTGATCAGTTTTACGGGTTCAACCTAGGGTCCAGCCACTGCCAGCCGGGTCCGCCCCTGGCAGTGGTGCGTGTCAGATTGCTGAAAATCTTCGGGGAATCGTCGGAATCGTTCTCGCCTGCAGGGATGAGTCGTTGAAGGCCAGCGCCACCGGGGTACTTTGCTCATAGACCGAGGTGCTGTAGACCAAGACGTGGCTGAAGGCCTGTGGGCGAGATAGGTTTGCCGTTTGAGGCTGTTTTGGAAAAGCCTCCGCTAGAAATGGAAACAATCACCCTGAGGAGATCCAACTGTACTCCCCTACAAATGAACGTGGAGCTCCCCACAACACTACTTCTCTATTGAGGTGTGGAGTGAGACAGCAAAAGCGAGGCGTGCAAGAGCTAGGTGCCCTCAACAAAAAAACATAATGTTCCCCCAAGTAGGGAGTCTTTTTGCACAAAAAGGGAGCAAGGATGCTGCTGAATAACGGGGCTCATTTTCAGAGGCAACCATGCAAGAACTTGCCCTTGGCAAACAGGCCACGAACAAACTATGCCGTTTCCGCTGTGGGTATGAGACTGCGGCGGTGAACAGGTATTCCCCCTGTTCCTGGTGCTCGCTTTTTTTACGGCATGTATTGAACAAAACTGAATTTCCGAGGCAACCAACTCTGTTTTCGTCCAGGGTTGACAAATCAATTCCCAGCAAACAGACGGGATAGTTGGAGAGCTCAGTGTCACAAGGTGGTTCAAGGTTTTGAGGCTGGGACAGGTTTGGGGCGAAGTGTCCAAACTCCTTAACAAATACCGCTCGGGAGTGACAGTTCAAGGGGCTGAGTTGTGCGCTTGATCTCTATGATTATGTATACCTCTTTGTAGAATATGCACATCTAAATACATGTGCACAGATATTGATTTACTTCTTTGCTGGATTGCTAGCTTCACATTTGGCCAATGCAATGCATCATGTATCCTATGTCTAGGTTCTTCAAAATCGTTCCTAATCCTAATCCTATTTCGTAATCTGCGCAGTGGGGCACGAGAAGGGAACCCACATTCCTCATCTTTAGAAGATTTGCAGAATCCAATAAATCCGCCCCCAGTATTTGCAAACGTTTCACTGCTCCCGTGCGGGTCGTTCCTCAAGTACCCATTGCTTTCTCACCTGGACGGCTACTTTTAGACAACGGAAAGCTATGTTTTTTCGCTGGAAAGGAGGGTGTCATTTTGACACTGGTTTGGGCTGTTCTTGGCTGTCGGGTCGTTTTAGCCAACCTTGCATGAACCGGTAGAGACGGCTTTTTCTTGGCAATACATTCTCATTTTGTCGGAAGTGCACAGCCATTCTTCAAAACAGGAGGGGTGTTGGGAGCACCTCGACCTATGCAAAACATCCCCATGACGCAGGTCGTCGGACATGGCACATGGCCGCCTAAGGTTTCCAAATCAAGGCACTGTGCATGGTCAGCTTCTCCCCTACTCCAAGTAGCTTTTCTTGAGTCAGTAAATCTGAAAAGGTTGCGCCATGGTAAGTAAATACCTCTTTGTGCAGGGTTTGACAGATCATATCTTAAAATGCAGGAACTTGGAGTATGGGGCACAGGCTGGGTCGTGCCCGAATCTAATTCTGGTGTGGTAAGGTTGGACCATAGGAACTTCGGACTCTGGAGGACTACAATTAGATGAATGCCCCAATCCCCACAGTCCCGCGGATTCGCCGCGAGTTGACAATGATTGTTCCGTTTTCTGCAGCATCCCGGCAAACCACAACGAACACTGCTTTGAATTCTCCACCTGTTTCGACTATTGCGCACGTCACTTACCACCCTAACGGGTTCCAAAACGGATCCACCATTTAGGCAACCAACGCGTGCCAGCGCATCAGAAGCGCTCGCCTGGAGTGGCGTGTCCAAGGGCACATCCAACCTGAAGCGCAACTAGCGTGGCCCAGAAAAAGACCAATGTTCGTCAATGACCCCCTTGGAAATTGTCCAAAATGATCCAAGATAGCAAGGCTCAAAAAAACTTTAGGCACAACCGGCAAGTTCATTTCCCAGCGAAGGCCCAAGATGGAAGACACCATCCTTTAGAATGTCCTTGCGTGTCAGCGGGTGCACAAACATCCACATTGGATTTACTAACTTCCGCAACCCTTTGTAGGTTTGCAAAACACACACACACACCCTGATCACAGAAACATGAACAGCACCACGGAGCCAAACAAACTGAAACACAGCCCATGCCAACAAAAGTGAAGCCGGATATTGCACGTAGAAATACGGGCACACCCAGCAAGTGACTTTGCTTTTGCGGTTGGTTTACTTGCAATCTATTGCAGTAGAGAACCAGCCGTGTCTGGCGTCTTCGATACCCTTCACAAGTAAGTTGCCATCCATTCCCGGAAATTCTACAATTGCTTCAAACCTGAAAACAGGACCCCCAAGTAAAGGACCGCGACGCTTGTTGATGGCCCGCACCACGCCTGAGCAGATGCGGACCAGTCCATGTCCGTCAATGACTATAACAAATCCTGCAAAAGACGGGTGCCTTGGTAAAGGACCTACGTCATGGTGAGCTCGTTTAAACCCCCTGGCAAGCTCAAAGGCAGCTTTCACATCGGGGGTCTTGACAATCGCGACCCAACTTTTTAGGTGCCTTGGTGACTCCAGCTATGGTCTGTGACATTGGTCATGGTTCCCGCAATAGGAATCACTGTAACGGTAGTTCTTCATCCTTACCACCAGGTGGATGACCATCCCTGTTAACCTCAAGTAAAGGGGTCACAACCCAAGAGGTTAGATCCGGTTGATTCGCCCGAATGTCGACCTTGGATACAAGTAGAACCTTGCGGATGAAAAGGCGGTGCAACTCACCTAAAGTTATCTGGATTCCCTCAAAAGTTGGAAACAGCCCCCAACAAACAAGCAGGGGATTATCAGCCCAGCGTTCCGCTTGCGGAATCCTCCTCTCTAACGTTGCATCCCTCGCCGACTGGCAATCCGAGAACCCCCGCTGCGTGGCCACAGTGCTGCCCACCAACGAACGGCCTCGCGCAAGCATGTTGTTCCGCACGAAAACGTGCAAACAACATGCTGTGCCCTAGTACGGGCTCCAGGTACCTGCAAAGTATATTTAACCTCTTTCGTTCAACCTGCATCAAAAACATCCTTGCATGGTACTTAGACCCTCTGCGATGTTGTTCAGCATTGCGGGAATTCTGCGTTTCTATTTGGAGCAGTTGGAGCCAAAAATGCGAGGCACCGGAAGACCAGGGAGCTGGTGGGACCCAGGAGTTTTCAAGAGAAATGCAAGGGAAGGTTTGATACGATCCTTGAATGGAAGGAGTCGGAATGAGTTCTTGAGAGGTCAGTTCACCCTTTGACAAGGTCCTTTGAAAATGCACACAATTCGGATGAAGAAACCTTGCAAGGTGGGTACACCGGTATACACCGGTTAAGCCTCCCGTAAGAGCCTGACTACTACAACAGGCTCGTGGGGGGCTCGGCGGTACCGGGAAAACCCCACCATTCGTGAATGTGACAAAGTGATAAGGCCCGGTCGAGTCCCGACACCATTGGCATCCCGAAAAAAAAAGGTGAAGCATGTCCTTTGAGGATGATTGATATATCTTTTGTCGATACTTGAACAGGTTCACCGTGTCTTGCCGTTGTGCGCACTGTGAAGGCAGACAGTTGGCCGGGCGATTGTTGAGGCCCTTTCCAGTTTGGATCTCCTCAAAAGATACACTCAAGATAGTCTCCACAAGCCTAAACCGCTACCTCCCACCCATTTTGAATTTGTTGGCTGTATCTTTGCTTTCTCCATCGTTTTACCCCCGGGTATATAGTGGTCGGTCCTCATAGATGATCACTTGACAGAAGAAAGGATGCCGCTACCATAAAGAAGGAAACATGAGCAAGTCCCGGAGGTGGATGTGGGAAACTTAGTGAGTCCCCACAAAGGGCGAGAATTGATCTGCTGAACTTGAATCTGGGCTCTGAACTCAACGCAGTTTGTTTTGTGATGTACTCGTCACTCGCGACTCAAGGGAACCCGCTATGACAGTCCAAGCACCTAGCTCAAGAGGGTTGCTTGCTCCAAGGCGTGCCCCTCTTCAACCGCATCGCCAATCCTGCCCCTGCTGCGCTGGTGCCCAAATACACAGCCTGGCGCTACGGCGGTGAGGTGCTTTCCTTTTGCAGTCCCTTTGAGATCATCCAAAAAGGGGACCCTCAAAGAAGACACACGCTTGATTCCCTCATCTGGCCTAAAACGGCCGGCCTCAGGTCATAGGGGATCTTTTTGGGCATTCCATCACGGGTCGGGGGGAGGCTTACAACAACTACCCTATCAATGGTGTCCCCCGAAATAAGGGCACAATATTGCCTTTGTTTCCCTCTTTCCCATCAAACCAATCCCAAAAAATGGGAACCAGCTCCCGCGCCTTGTGAACGGCTCTCGTCGGTCAAAAAATGAATCATATGGTTGGTGTCCACTTACAAACCGAAGCAAACAATCAAACCAAGTAACACATGTAAGCAACAATGACACAGAAATCGTTGCCATGGGCGCTGGGGTGTTGTCCCAGGGCTCAGACCCTGGCTGGGTCATATGGTTTTGTTTTCAAATATGCGAAGCCAACATATGAAGCCCGAAGTCCCTGTGTTGCGCCTTTCAAAACAAGCCGACCAAAATGGGTTGCACTCAAAACACTTTTTGCACTCAAAATCGGAGCATCCGCTCGGGCACATCCCGAGTGTGGATCAGGTAGCCATGATCTGCTGAGAAGCTATGATCTGCTGAGTGTGGCCAATGCAAAGAAGATGGTTGCTTTGGATAAAATAATGAGAGCCTGCCAGATCAACAAACCATTGCTACAGTGGTCCCCACCCTTTGCAAGTCTGCACCAAACTGATCTCACAACCTGCCAACAAGCCGAGGCCTTGCAAGACGCACCTCTTTGGCTCGCCTCAAGATCACCTCTCGAGGGCACATCATGTTGTTATGCCAAATGGCCTGCCTCCCCCCAATTAAAACAAAGACCGGCGGACTGTAGTAGTGCACTGTTTTTGCGATGTTGAGGTTTGATATCTTAAAGCAAATTGAAATCCTGGCTTGCTGACGAGTGTTCGCAACAGTGAATTCTGAATTACTCAGTGGCTCCACTACATGAATTTGTTGTCTCACGCTGCGAATTGCTGCTGCTCATTCAAGCCAAAGTAGCGGCAATTCTCTTGGCAACCTCCTTTTCTTCCCTGTTTGGTATTGCTACGGGGCGCGTGCCGTTAGTATTGCAGAGCACTGGATGGTGAGGATGGAAAGCTCACCGTCCAAGAAGCAGTTGCACAAACACTTCCGAGTCATTCAACAAATCTAGCAAGGAAGGACGAGCCGATTGCTTCTTCTAGGTTGCCTGCCTTAAACGAAGTGAGCAAAAAATGACTCTCAAGGAAACACAACTTCAGTTCTAGCGGCGGCTTGCAAGCTTTAAATTGCAAGGTCAAGTTTATATATCACTTCACGTAAGCATTAATGAAGAATGAATATGTCCAAGTAGGATTTCGTTTAGTGTTTAGAATTAAATCTAATAAGTAAGGAAAGAAAACTGGTTGATTCTTCTCATAGACATGAATAAAACATTTGATTAGAGCTTATAATAACAGAATTTAAGTAGACCCGCTTGTGCAGAAATGAAAGACAAGCTGGTTGTAGTGAACAACCAATAGATGGCACCGAAGAGAGGATAGAGGATAGCCCCCGCTAGTCCCCCGCAGAAGGGGGGTGGGGAGCACCGCGCGGTAATTTGACGACGTTCCACTAAAAACAGTCTTCCCGGTGTGGCAAAACAAGGGTCGCAGGCTCGAATCCCCCTGCTAGCTCTCTGCCAGCTCGGGTCTGCCAACAATATTGAACAACCAATACTTTTTAACCTCCTTCGGGCGACAACGTTGAAAACTATCGTGTTGTGTTCAGTATTTTTGTTGTAGGCGCCCGTGGAACTTGGACTGCTAGGCTGAAACACGCGGTGTTGTTTGGCATCCTTTTGGCGAAATCGTTGAAATGAAGGGGAAGTGCGAAGTGCAGAGGAAGCAAACGGGAAATGAAGCTGCAATGCAAACCCTGCCTCGGTTTAGCGCAGGGGAACTTAAAAGGACACGCAGGGGTGCAACGTTGGCGGACTGAGCCGGAGGCTCTAAAGTTTACATATTTCGAATGGATGTTAATTGAAACTCAATTAATTTGTTATTTCGAATTAGACTAAATAGAAACTATGGTTCAATTTGTTTAACTACAAATTTATCAACTAGTTTACGTCAAGTTGGAATCCCTTTCCACATATGAGTTCAAAACACAAATAGTTAGAATGCGCTATGTTGATCTCGAATTTAAATAGGATTGTCTTTCCAAGCAGGATGTTAAATGGAACTTAAATAGAGCTCTACTGCAATGTAGTAAGGAAAGATAAGCTGGTTGCATCGTCTAATTTATTTCACTTCAATTGGATGTTCAATAGGAAGTTCTTTCCAAGTAGGAACTCAGTCGTACAGTAAATAGAACATATAATATAAGAAGAAACGACGAGATGGTTGCGTCTGCTAATTTGTCTGACTGATAGAGAACAACAAATAGAAGCTCAAGGAAACAGCAATGTCTGTCTATTTGGTTTGCAAGCTTTGAACTGCGAGGTTTTGAGATAAAAACAAAAATTCAGTCAGGATTCAATTACATATCTACTGTTGAACTAGACTAAATTTGTGTTTTCCAAGTAGGACTTTAACTAGAAAATCATAGTATCTGTTTACATAAAATAGTAAGGAAAAACCAGCTGGTTGTTCTTCAACTACTGTATCTTGATTAGAGTTCTTATGTCGAAAAGAAAATGGAATCCGGTGTCTTTTCAAAGTAGGGTTCTAACTAACACTTGTTTCGACCTTTAATAGAATCTAGTAACTATGCTGTGTTCCAGCAAGCCGACTGTCCGTCGTTGACTTCAATCGTGCAGCTTGGATTCGTTACATGAGAAATCGACCGCTGTACTGCTCATGGGGGAAGTGTACTTGCACGGATTATGCACAACAAAAAAAGAAGCACGTAACGCCACCAAAGACAAAGACAATCAACAAAAACCAAGGAAAACAACAAATGAGGAACTTAGCAAAAACACAAAACCTCGAGAAAACAACAAAACACAACTATGTCTACAGAATTCTTTCAACATGAGCTCTTTTCTAAAGAGCTTCCCCCTCATGTTGGTTTTTGCATTGCTCCATGAGTTGTTGGTTTTCTCTAGTCTGTTTCGGTTTTGCCCAGGCTTGTCAAGATGTTTCCCCTGTTATTGGTTCAAACTTGGCACCTGACCAGCTTCACCCATGGGAAGACTGGACGCCTCGCAACACGCAAAAAGCGCACTAGCAGGGTCCCCTGTTCTTAAAAAAGGCCAGCAAGTTGAAAAGCGCTCGAGAGAGAGCCACCCATATAGCCCATGAGCTTTCGTGTGTTTGGGTTTGCCCTTGGTAAACCTTAGCCCCTAGGGTCATAATTGCCGAAGCCTTTGGCCGCACAGAGAACCGAGACCGGAAAGGTTCTTGAGTCCCCAGAAACAACAAGATTGATCCTTGGGGGGGGGGCTGCAACTTGCCTTGGGGCACGTAAAAAGACCAGGGTAAAAGTAGATGGCACAATTGCTGTACAACAGCAAGTAAAGGGAACGACTAAACTAACATGGCAGAATTGAGCCATCTACTTTTGCACAAGGGTCCCTGAAGGGATGAGTCAAGAAGAAGCAGAAAAAAAGGAAACACAAAAAACAGGCTGGACCCACGTAAAGCGCCACCTCTGCATACTCCTGGCCGGGTATGCGCCGGTTGTAATTCGCATTCTGTGTACTCAACCCCATGGTTGATTTCAAAGTTCAAACTCATCACTGGGCTGCCAATCCAGGTTCTCTAAGACTCTAAGTCATGAAAAGAGTCCGGAGAAATTACAGTACGGTCTCAAGGGTGATTCGCCTGCCAAGGAATCTTCAACCAGGGTTCCCGAAGCAAGTGATATAACGTTTGGAGTGAAGTATATGTTTGAAGGACAGCTCCGTGTTCACATTGATATCATAACGAGGCGTGCTCTGTGGGTCTGTCCCATATTTCCTCAATTCAGCAAGTAGGGAACATCGGGAACTATAAACCAGCGTAAATCAGAGTGCCTCCTAATGTTGGCGTCTGGTCAATATGATTGAAGACGGTTCTGCTTTCCAGCCGACTGCCAACCAATATGAGCTTCATTCAGGCACTCACAAGCTTTGGCGGTTTTGGAGCCTCCGACCCCTCCCCCCATTGATCGAAGACGCCTCCCTGCCCGGCGCAAACCCAAACAAAACATCGCATGTTCAAATCACCAAAGCCAGGAAAAGGGGGACAGGATCCGAGAGGAAGAGGACTGGAGAGAACCAAATAAATCCGAGGGTTGGGTCAATGTGTTTGCTTCTGCTGTATCTCGGGCCTGAAAGTGAGGCGCGTGCAAAAACATGCCGAAGTGAGCAACATCTGTCCCTCCGGTTCCTCTTCCAAACAATGAAAGTGGACAGCTGCCGGCCTTTCAAGAAAATTGTTTTGCAAAACTCAGTAAATGGAAGACGGAACTACTTCCGATCGATTAACATGACCAACAAATTGATGCTCACGAAAAAACAATAAGGCCTGAATCTAACGGTGCTGTCCAAAATGACAGGTCAAACGGACATCTTGCGAAACCATTGCGAAACCTGTCATGAAACACGAAAGTCTTGAGGGTTAGTGATCCCTGAAACATCGCCCCATTGCACAGCATTCAGATATAATACCCGTAATAATACCCCTGCTTCAAACACTCGTTTGTTTAAGGGTATGATGTCAACTGGGCTTCCAGAGCACACTACACAAGCTGGTCATTGGAGTATCTGGAGTTGTGTTGACATCACACCCTTACACATCACACCTCTTGTTTGTTGCCGCATTCAACATGAAGTGAACCACACAAGGCAAAACAAAACATGACAAACCACGGTGGTGAAGTATCAGGGTTCCAACGAGATGATTGCGTTTCACCATCACCCACCTAAAATAAACTCGCTAAATGGCCAAATGAGATCCAGACCGAGCCGAATTGTTGGCCTAAAGCAATTCTTGGCTGGAAAAAGGAGATTGACCAGCCCGAACCGGTAGTAAGACTGTCCCGTGCTGTAACAACCATGCCCTGTCGGCTTTCTTTCGAACACTGCAAAAACAAGCTCCCTTTCTAAACCTACACCCCAAAATGGGTTGGCTTCCAGAGGTCGGCTGTGTTTAAATAGGCCAACTCGGGTGAGCTGGCTTTCCTTTAGGATTCCTTTTGAAGGGCCAATGCATTCCGAGATTGGAATTCCCATCCGCTCGATCCGTGCCTCGGGCAAGCGCCAGGTGACAGCACCCCCTAGCTGATCCACATCAAGATCCTGGCGGATCGCTCCCCGCTCGATCCTGTTCCGGGCGATCCGTGCAGATCGAACGTGGTTCTGATCAATGGGGATTCCAAGTATCTCTCCTGGCAGGGGGCGACAGGGCGTCCGCAAACCCAATTTTGTCTCACCCGGCTGTTTGTGCTGTGCCCGTCTTGGCATTGCTTGGATGGCTGCTGTCTTACATTTGGGCTTCCACTGGAGTCAACTCTAAACGGGCCTTTTGGGCCCGAATACAGGAACTGCCTTTCTTTGCTTGGATTGTTCACAAGTCCCGCGGGTCGCCCTTGGCGCAAGAAGGAGTCAAACGAACATGTCCTTTCTGTGTGCAACGACACAAGATGCCAAAACACAACGGAGTTTTGCAAATGGAGAACCGGCAAGCCAACCAATTCCTCTTTCAAGCTCTTGAGGCCGGAAAGTCCCCGCTTTCAGGATTTTCCTGTTTGTCTGTCTTGTTCTCTTGAGACTGTTTGTTAACCGGGATTGGTGCACTTCACTACGCGATGAGAAAACGGCAAAGCAGCAAACAGCAGACTGTACTACCCAGTCAAACCCAACATCATATTGGATAGTTGGCGTGTGAATGGCTTGGGTTTTCGGTTGGTGGGATGGTTGGTTGATTGGTTGGTTGGCTGGGTGCCTGGCTGGCTGGCTGGATAGTTGGATGGCTGGCTAGCTGGTTCTTTTGGTGTTCTATCCTGCCTGCCCTGTCCCCAACTACCTTGTTCAGCAGCCCGAAGAAGGGATCCCTAACGAATCTTCATCATAAGCAAGGTCGCAACGGCCTCTTTTGTGAGGTCGCCTTCAATTGCATACCATGTGTTCCGGCGGGGGGAGTTCCCAAAACCGAGGACCACTCTTGGATCATGTTTGAAGGAACACCCAAAGGAAGCCCGCAACTTGACGACCCCTCTTTTGGGGGAAGGGAAACGCCGTGCAGTGGCGCCATGCAAAGACGCGAGCCCGTTGACTTTTGATAGTACCAAGAGAGTTCTCAATGCTTGTAAAGGCCTCGCTATCCCCAATTGCATCGGGCATCGGATAGTAGAACGACTAAACTGTTTCTGGAACTAGTGAAACCAAGTAGAATCTGCTAAACTTACAAACCCCCAGGCAGAACCCTTCAAGTAACTGGCCTTGTCCAGGAATTCCAGCTGTTGCACGCTGGACTCAGTGTCCTGGCAACACCGGGAGTTCTCGATTTTGAGGGACACCTGCCGTACATCAAAGACTCCACCCAAGGCTTCGGGACTTAGTAAGTTGACTATGCAAAAGTTGCCCCGGAGTCCGGATTTGCCTCGGGTACGGCCCTGTATCCATGCTGGCCGACCGAACCTGGGAGCCACGAAGATGCCCCAGGATTCGGAGGTAGCTTTCATTGAGTGCCATTCAAGAAATCCCGCTCTGTGCTCCCCAGCAGTAGAGTTTTAATACAACAAAACCCTCTAAATGAATTCATAGGTTGCTTGGCGGATCTTGGCGGTGCTAAAGTTACCTACGGCGGGGAAATTCGCTGAAAGTCACCCCAAAGGGAGGAAGCCGTCCAATACAATCGAGAGCCGCTGAGTTCGGTTGCACCAGGTCAGACGCGGAAAACAAAGGATGGGGGGTCACGCAATAAGCTGGTTTCCCGAATCGACCGGCAAAAGGCAGGCTTGCTGCACATTAGGAACGTTCCAAGGAGCAACCTTGGCCCGCAGGCTCGGAACAACTCCAAGGAGCCAGGAAAGAAAAAGGGAACACTCTCGGAAACTGTAGAATGGGCCTCCAAGGGTGGGGGGTGGTGGGGGCGGCGGGCCCATTGGGCGGCACCTGTAGTAAGGTTGCACAGGGTGATGGCCAGTGATGGCCATAGCCCTCCTAGGTCCATAGCACCACCTCCCCCCTCTGGGCCCCGGTGCATTGAAAACCAGCGCAGCAGGGGTCGTTTGCTCCGTGAGGCCCGACACGGTGTAGACCTCAATTTGTGTGTTGCTCTGGCCATAAAACCGCCGAAGCCAGAAAGAAGCCGACGAAAACCCTTGTTGGAGCAAATGATGGAGGGCTTCAAGGGGTTCATAACAGAAGACCATACAGTTCATACATTCCGCCAACTTTGACGTCTTGAAAAAGTGTCATACACATTCTACGGGTGTAGCCCTGGCTCCCACACTGTCCCGCGCATTGGTAATGCGTTTGTTTGGTTGCACCTTCAGTACACAAATGGAAGTTTGGGCACTTGGGAATTGGAGAATTGAACAAGTCTCTGCTGGGGGACAGCCGCCAGGTCTGTAGGGATCATGTCATGTCATATCTTTTCCAGGCCCAGGATTCGGAAAGCAAAGTGCTATCTTGACATGGGATGGCTCCTAATTCCTATAGCGAAATTGTAAACAAAGTTCACACAGGAACAAATACAGGAAACTGGATTTGCTCAGACTGGGCTTATCCAAGCTTAGACTGGGCCGATCTGAGGCTAATCCAAGATTAGCCAAGAGATGCCTTTTGTCCAATATTGTCGACATGAGTATTGCATTTGCTGACCACAAAGAAAACTGCAGCTGGTCAGCAATTAGTTGTGCTCCAAACAAACACAACCTTAACGAGCTGGTCAGCAATTGCAGAGGACCGGGCAATACTTGAAAACCTTTGATGGAGCTGGGGAACGATGGAAGCGCATTTGGGGACTGCTGCTTGAAACACCCGCCCCGCAGTTATGGGCAGCGCCTCATCTACAATAAGAAGCTATGCAACCCAAGCAGTTCAAATAACAACGCAGCTAAAATTTGCTGCATCGGCCTCGGTATGTGCAAAGAACTACAAGCGAAGGCAAAGAATGAAGCAGTACATACCCTACATGAATCCGAGGATTACACATCCGTGGACAAGGGCCCGTCGAAGGAAAACTTCCTTCTACGCAATTGAGTGTTTTTGGCAACCAATGCAAAGGATGGCAGTCTTCCAACAATTAGTCAACTTTACAGGTTGTTGGACAGGGAATCAGCAAACCCTCAAAGCATCGACACATTCCCCACAGGTGGGCAGCCAAAACAGACTCTAGCCACCACCTACAGTCACCTCAGACACAGCATGTTGGGTTGGTGGGCTCGCTAGTGCACCACCTCAACAAAGCCAAACGCCCTCACTGGTGTAATGACATCTTGGGTTGGTGGGCTCACCGGCCGCCACTGCGACAAAACCAGAAGCCCTTGGTCGTGTGTTGGTCAGTAGTGACCCCACTGCAGGGTGGCGCCAGCGTACGGCGGCAAGTCGGTCAAGATCCAAATCACCAAAACTGAGCGATTGAGAGCAGTGATAGATGTCATCTTCCAGGCCTTCCAGTCGCAGGGAGGAGTTGAGAAGTACAAACTGGCCCCAGAAGGTGGCCTTGAGAGAGAGTTGCAGGCAGTTTTGGACGAGCTTCAGAGCTAGTGAGGGCCGATCGCGAGTGAACGGGCTTGCATCCGCTCACACGTTGAAGGGTGTACCTGGGCGGCGCCTTTGAGGTGTGTGCAGGGAACTACTGCCATGCAGTATTCGTTTGCCTCGGCGTTCCCGGTTTGCATTGGGTTTGCTCCTTCTCTAAGGGGAGGACGGCAGGCATGAAGACCGTTTTGAGATAGCAGAGAGGTGCTCGGCTAGGCAGACTCAGGATTGTCCGCCACTCAACCTCAAAAAGAGAGAGAGAGAGAAAGAGAGAGACTCCACCGCAAAAAAAAGACCTTGGTCGTGTGTATTGTTCAGTGGTGACCCAAAGCTGCTGGTCGTATATATATATATATATACATGTTGCGGTATCAAAAAAAGACCTATGGGCTCAAAGGCTGACTCAGACACTGTGCCCAAAGCTGAAAAGCGCTTCAAACACATGCGGGGAGGTGATTTTTGGGTTCATACATGCCTACGACATGTACCAAATGGTCCCAAGTAAAACTCATTGGGTCAACCTTTATCACCTGCTCCGAACATCAGATCTAAAATTGGAGTACTCGCACTCCAAATATACATTTATCGACTTATTACACTTTTGGTGAGAGTTTTAGCGCCGACTGCCAAACACTTTGTGCTGGACGAATATTAATTTGGGTCACTGCTTTTCGGCAGGTTACAGGTAACACGTGATTTTTCAAAAGGAGTACTTCCTGATTTATGAGTAGGGCGGGATGGGGTTCATGCCGGTGCCCCTCCACTCTTCTCCTTCTGAGCAGCCCTGCCAGCAAAAATCGCAGGTCCCCCAGTGGGGTGTCCTCCACAGGTGAGTGCTCATGTGTCATGGTCAACAATCAGTACCCTGGTCACGGTGGACGGCTCAGAACGGTCTAATGGTTTCAGCAGTTGATACCGATCCCTACCAAGCCCACAAAGTGTCTCTCGCCACGGGTCACGGCAAACATGGGTACGTCTTAGAAGGCAACCCTCTAGGTGGTCAGTTCCTTCAAAGATGCGGACGATCTTCCATGACTCTGCGCTTTGACTCCCTGCTGGCTGATTTGTGGGACCCAAGGCGAAAAACCACGTATCCCTGGGAATGGTTGGTGCGACTAAGGTGTGAGCCACCTTTGTTTCAATGTCAACTTCAGATGAAGCCCGTGCGAAGGGGTGCGGGGGCTCCCCCTTCTCAGTAGTGAGGGATTATCAAACTTGACATCGGCTTCCATTGTTTCTGCGATCAATATAGGTCGGTTTCAAGGCCCCTCGAGGGGGCAGGGTTCCAAGGGCTCAGCAGAGGGGTTATAACCCCTAGCGAGATGGAACAACTAATCCAACGCATGTGGAAGTTCACCTGGGTGTCTGGAATCTCCAAAATGGACGAATTTCCTGAACGGCGTCTGATCCATCAAAATGGGGTAGCCCAAAAGAAGACAAACCCGCATTCAAATGGGGGCTGCCCGAAGAGAGACAGTTTGAGGCCCTTTCTGGATCACCAAAAAGCTAACTTCCAAGAAAGCCTTGCTGGGGGGAAATCCAAAACACAAAAGGTGGTCGTCCAACAACTGGAGCTAAAAAGGCGCCTGCAAAGGTGGCCCCTGTGCCCTGTGCTATGGTAAAAAAAGGAAACAAAACAAAACAATACAAACAAAAACAAGCAAACCGCAATGACCAACAACGGACAACTTTTTGCATAAGAACCGCGCCCAAGGCAACTCACCTGCCCGGCACTCGGTCCTCCGGCACCTCCAAGTATCGTTGCACCAACAAGTTTCCCACCGGCTGCCGTGCCAGCCCGCTGGAGCTGTTGGAGAGGTAGACCTGGCATGCCAAACACTTAGGTTAATCCCTTAGTATTTGCCCCATTTGAGTCACAATCAGAACCTTGGACCAGAAACGTCTACTCAAATCTATGTACGGAACAAAAAGGGCAGCCGGCGGCTGCACCCAACGGTTGGGACGGTGCCCTACACCCTGCAACTAGCCAGGTGATTGTGGTTCATGTAAGGAAACCACCAAGATTCCCCTCGCTTTTTGCCATTTTACCCAAAGACGGATTCCTAGACGGAGAAATACAGGCAAACAAGCTGCGGTGGTTGGAATCACAATCACAGAGAACCGATCTGCTTGCACACAAGTTATTTAAACACGGTCGACCCGGTTAAGAACTGATCTGGTTGCGCGTTGCTTTCCTTTTTCTGCGTGGCAGGTGCGTTAGAGATGGCACAACACATCGCTGATATATATATATATGTACTTACAGTCAGCCATAAATGCATGGGCGCGTTCGGAATTAAGCCCTCAATGGTGAACAGCTGAACAGCCTATGAAACCCACCAAGGGTTCATTCATCCAGGCCCCACTCCCAAAGACAATCCTAACCATCGCTACCCTGTGTGGCCCCAGTTGATTTTATTTGGCCTTGATTCATGATTGATAAGGCCTATGAATTGACATGCGGCCCTGACCCTTTTGAGTTTGTGGACGTTGGTAGGTTCGTTGGAACGTAAAAACACTCTTATTCGCCAGCCTTGTAGCCGACCACCGCAGAGTCGTTGGCCCACCAGGTCGCGTTGCCGCCCAACTCCCAGGCATCCAAGTCCTAACCAAACGCTACAAAAACCCGAACCCAAGACCAAGACAAGTTAATCTATTTGTCATTATTGCATATCATATACTAGTTGGCCTTTGGGTTTGTTTGCCTCTTTTGCAGTTCAAGCAAAGTTTGTTTTCCACATCTTGTTCACGTCTATGACTATTCTGATGTTTGTGTGGCAGGGTAGTTACTGGTACCGGTTCCCTTCACGCAACCCTCGCGTTTTGTCGACAGTTCCCTGCCATTGTGGCTACTCACTGACAGAACACATACTCCACTGATCGTATGTTCCAGAAAGCCACCATCTGAAAGACCGAAATAGCTATGCATCTTATGGCTTCTCCCCGACCCCGGCAAGGTTAGCAAATAACAGAAACGGTTGTGTTTTAGAAGCTCCCCTCTAAAATGAACAGAGTCAAACCCGTATGATATGTCCCTAACGTGAGGCCCTCTGTGAGGCCCTCTGTGGAGTGGATGCCGAGCCGGGACCCAGAACATGTTTGAGAAATACTCATGGGGTTTGAATCCCAGTGGTTTCTTGTCAACCAGAAAAAAAGAAGTTTCATCCTGCAAGGAGTTCTGTAGGGAGCCTGGGGGAAGCTGCCCTAAAAACACAGTCGTTGCCTTGAGCAACCGAAGGACTCTCTGCTATTGACAACTTGTGCTGGTCGCGGGTGTCACTTTTCCCAACCCAAAAACAAGACTCGGAATTGGGTTGCATTTGAGGTCTAAATCACACTTCTGCACCTCAATCACACTTCTGCACCTCCCGTGAAGACATGGAAATTCAACTGACTAAGTCACTGGGAAAGTCGTTTTGCCAACGCTTGTAAACGTGATAATGTCCCACACCTGCTGTGCAGGAGCCCACCCAACCCCACCTTCCGCTGCCCTGTCTTCCCCCAATGACTTCTTGGGCCTTTGTTGGGGGGAAACCTACGGGCAGGGAGAAAACGCGTTAACATGAAGTCGGTTGAGCTCATTTGATCTGGAGATAACAACTGAGCCGTTTGGGAAACCAAAAAATATTGGAATGGTCTTTCAAGGCAAGCACCGCCTGGGTACCGTCTCTAACATGGTCTCTAGATCCGGTCGAAAGATCAGATTCGGTCGATTCGCTTCGCGACTGAGTGAGAGCTCGGAATAGTGCATCCTAGCTTCAATTGCCTAGTCTTCCCTGGGAAAGAGAAAGTGGAACTGCAAACCAAATGCTAGGGGCCTTTCATTTCCCCCCCAGCGTATTCTTTCTGGGCTGTCCAAAATGGACGCTTACACGCTTAGTCAATCCTAATACAAGGGAAAATTGAGGATTGCCTCCTTCAAGTTTCTCATCAATGATAGAGTTGGGAAAGCTAGGATAGTGCGCTGCCAAGATCGTGAGTTGGCAAGATCCACATCTAACAAATTCAGTTGAGGGCTCCTCTTTATAAGGGGGGCACTTGCATCCATGTCGGAGACATGGAGTCGGAGGAACTATCGTCAAAATTCCAGGGTCGAAATCCCCCCCGCATTCCATGTTTAAGTTAAAGGTGCTAATCCGACACCAATAATGATAGAGAACATGGCAATCAGTGGCGAATACATCTTCAGAAAGACAAAAGAAAGACATGATGAAGGAATGAATATCCACCCTGGTTTAACCAACCTCCTTGTTCCCTTTATAGGGGTTTGCTTGGAACAGTTTTGCAACAACCTTGCCCTGTCCTGGTCCACAAACTCCAAATTCTCCACCGTGACTTGCACGTCGCTGAGCTGAACTGCATCCGGAGTCGTCTGCTCCACCAGGGCGGAGCGAGTGTAGACCACCTCGCGTTGTCATATCAAGTTAAAACTCCCAAGTGTAGATACACACAACTGGGTCCCTGAATTTTCCCAAACAAAAAAACATGCCAAAAGGCCAAAGCCAGGCTTCTTGTTGTTCGATGGTCAAAATGTCAGGTCTTGTGCAGCACATCGGATAATTAGCTGGTTTTGTGGCGAATGTAGAGCTCGTCCTCCAATGTCCCTCGCAAACGGACCATACTATCCTGCATACTTTGACCGAACCTCCTGAATGACACCTACAGGATGAATGAAACCACAACAGCCTCTTTAATCCCAGGAGTCAGCCAAGGCACCACCTGGCTGAACTGCTGCATGTCAGTGTCCGGCAGCAGGTCCTTGGCCGCAGGTGCCATCTCTCAGCCAAAATGCCCCACAAGGATGTCCCATTTTCCCACCAAGTCAAATTATGGGAGATGTGCAAAAAGTGGTCCCAAACCCCTCCCAATAGATGTCGTGCTAATTAAGGAATGGACACTTGCCCAGTATGTGGCTAAAGCAAACCCTTGAGGCTACTGCAGGCTTTTTAGGGATTGCTTCCCTCCGTCCCTCCTTTGATAGGAATGGAATGACTAAGAATCGTTTTTTTTTTTTTTTTCATGTGCAAAGCACCTGAAGGAAGCTGTGAAAACCCTAAACAAACAACGGCTCCTCTTTGGAGGGATCGCCTTTTAGAAACCTGAAAAAGCAAAGAGCGGAAAAACGAGCCCCTTTGGGTTCTCTCAAGGGCACACCGCTCCTTACACGGCCCTCGTGCTGCCTTTTGACCCGTTGCTACATGCTGAAACATCTAGCGGCTAGCGAGGAAACAGCTCCTGCACTATGCCCTGGTTTTTCACAGGCACCCTGCGGTTTGGCAGGAATACAGTAGCAGGTACACGCTTTTAGGTGGTTCCAAGCGAGTGGCAGCTTTCATCCTTTCATGCTGCCTTGCAAATTACTCAAGCTTCTGCGAACCCTTCTACACCCTTCCCGCGGGCTCAAGGGTTCCTTCCGTGGCACACGTTTGCCATTCTCGGCTTCCACACGCAAGAATACATTGACAGTCAACGTCAAACCATACAACTTCCGTAAACCTTCCGCGCGTAGTCCACATGTTTCCACGCATGTGGCGTGATGCACATGTGCGAGTATCATCACTACGGTCAAACTTCCTGCCAAACAAGGCCCACCTGGACCTGGCTTTTCCATCAAAATGAGGTCGATTCAGGGTTTTCCAGCAAAGCCAAATGATGGTAAACTTTGAGGCCCATTTGTTGTCGGCGTTTTGTGAGCAGCAGGTGCACCCTGAGCTAGCTGGTGGTCTGCATTGGTCGTGAGGAGTTGCCTTGTCCATGCTGTTTCACAGGAAACCAATCCAAACCACCTTGTTCATCACCTGAAATTGACTTCCAGGGGAAACGCCTGTTTGAAAAGGCGGATGGCTGCAAAGAATGGGGAATCAAGCCCCAGAAAAGAGGAATCCAACTCCACACCTGCCATTCCACCGCTCCGCTCCGCTCCGCCCCTTATCATTCCGTGCGTCTACCGCTGTGGTCGTGGTGGGCAGTTGGCTGATTATCGAGCGGTTGGCTGAACTCGACAAGTACACCAAGTAGCCGGTCACCTGACACGGGTGGTTGCAACATACGCAACAACTAGACTCTGCGTCCAAACAGGGGAGAACCAGCATGAAGTTGTCCGAAAACAATAGGTGCTTAAAAAAAGGGGTTGGCACTGGCACCCTGCCCCATCCGACGTCGTTCTCCATTTAGGACCAGTTTTGGGGTGTGGTGTCTGCACCCTCAGGGTTCTGGGGATCAAGATAGCATGTCATCTTGCCTCACGGCGGCGACTTCTGCGATGGCCCACCGTATCTCGTTCTCGGAAGTTTGCGCGTTTTGGGTCTGGTCAAGAATCAAGCAAGCTTGGGTCAATTCGGGGGCGAAGTGCTGAGCCAGGGTCGGCAGTCCCGATTTGCCAAAGTTCTTCAACGCCCAACGCAACGTTGTGTGCGTGAGAGACGCGCTGGCCGCAGCCACTCCTGCGGCCTCCTGCAAGCTTCTGGGCCTTCCCTCAGCTCTTATACGACACCTAAATGCTTCAGCTCTGCCTGCGTTGATCTCGCAGACTCCAAACGTGCAGCGAGGGAGGGAGTGAGTGAGTGAGTGGGAGAGTGAGTGTGCGAGTAAATGAGTGGCTGAGTAGGTGAGTGGCTGAGTAGGTGAGTGGGCGAGTGAGTGAGTGACAACTTGCTTTCGCAACTGGTACGTCTTAAGTTCACATATTGTTGTGTGAAGGCTAGTCAAGCATAATGGGCATGTGTTCTTCTCTTGCTTGTACGCATTTCCTGTAAGGTCGTCTGTGTCGGGAGAATGAGTCTTCCGCTTCCAGTCACCGCATGGTCGCTGTGCATTGGAATGAGAGCGATTCTCAAATGATGTGCCACAATTTGTGGGGTCATGAAAGGCAACCCATGCTTTTTTGATAGATCAATTTATGTTCATCGAAGGATGTCTTGTTGAGAGCATGAATTTAAACAATGTCAGATGGAAAGCAACTCAAAAGTACTGCGCCTCGACCTAGCACTGAGTGGAATCTGCTGATGACGAAGTACATTCACAAGTGACCTTGTTTGTTTCGCTGACAAAGTCTGCGATATTTATATGGCGGTCACCCCCTCCCTGAGGAACCCAGAATAGCACAACCAAACCGCACCAAACACCAACGCTATGAGGAAGAGCTGTGGTTTTGTCATGTGTATTTGGTTTGACTTGGTTTCCTCTAGTGTAGGTTGCTTCTTGTTTTGCTTTCCTTTAGTTTGTTAGTTGATAGAAGTTCTTGAGGGAAAGACACGAACACCCAAAACTACTCGAGTAAACAAAAAAAGCTACCTCTGAAGAAAAGTGTTGGCTTGGCCAAAAGTCGTGATTGTTTTGTTTTCTCGAGGTGTTCTTGGTTTTTGGGGTTCCCTCAGTTGTTTGTTCTTTGAGTAAAAACAAACAACTCGCTGGTTGTTAGAGATATGTAACGGACAAACATGAAAACCGGAAAAGAAAAAAAACTTGAGCCAACCAAGAAACCAGATCGATTTTGCTGAAAGTGTTGGTTTGTTTGGTCACAACTAGCGCAATGCAAACCCAAAACGGAATTTGCTTTGCTCTAAACTTCGTTCTTATGACAAACAAGCGTTAAAGCACAGAGTTGTTTACATTTCTTTGAGGCACAGCAACAGAGGTAGTTACGGGGGGGGTGACATACAATGTGTATATCTATATATGTATATAAATATATACATACATACACCATGCGACCCTGTGAAACATCACCCCCACCCAAGGTCTGCAAACCACCGAAAAGGGACATCTCAGGACTGAACAGCTGATGTTTTAGTTTTGCTTTGAAAGTGTCAAGCCGACTCCGTCAAATCGTCCCGCCCCGCGTCGATGCCCGGCCTGGGCGGTTTCCTCCGGCAGGTCCCAGAACACTTGGCCCCCCACCTGGCCCACATCCAGGTCCTCATCCAGGAAGGAGGTGCCTGGACTGGGGGTCCGACGGCGTGTGTGCAGTTTTGCTTCTCGAAGGAACCCCTTTTTGGGTTGCTTTAGAAGCTAAGGGACGCCAAAAGGACACCATCCAAAAATGTAGGTCTCCTTTTTTGACACATACCCACATACTCCTGGAAAGGTGAAGAATGATATGGACGAGGACAAACGATAGTTTACCAGGGCCATGGTGGCATTGCATGCTTGGCTTTGAAAGGGAAGCCCAAATGACACCAACCATTTTAGGGAACCCTATCTTGAGAAGCGCCCATTTCTAGAGGCGTATCTGTTCGATTTTTTCGGGAGCTCTCCTGGCATCACAGAAAGTGACCCTAACACCCCCCCCATGTCGGTGGGTGAGAGGATCCACTAGGCAAAATTATGTGAAACCCTTTGCCTTTGAACCCAACAAGGTAAATCACCACAAGCAAATGGAGAGGGCCAACCACAAACGCAAAAACACAGAGTGAGTTTGTCGTCAAACAAGCAAACAAGAACATAAGATATGAGCATACCGAGAGCGAAGAACCAAGGGCCTGAACCTGTGCCATTTTGCATAGGCGCCTGATACGCTTGCGTTGGTGTCCAGCACAAGCACCTCCGCTGGGAAGGTTTGGCGGAAGGAGCTGGAAACTGCGTACCTCAGGAGAGTCGTTGTGACTGGGTAACATCTGGGTGTCTCAAATTAAGGCTTTTACTTCTATTGCGTTTGGCCGTTTACGAGGTAATCCCTACTCCAGCTTGAAATTGTAGGTTTCTTCGGTACAACCAATCTCAACTCTGCAATCAGCCACCACATCCGATGTGGGTGGTTGTCTACTTTCGAGTTTCTGCGTTCCGACTCACCGTAAGATTGCTTGCCAATTCCTAGTACCGTCCGTCGACTATAGGAAGTGTGGGAATCGTCCTTTGCCAGCCAATAGTATTCCCACTGAGAACAAGCGAGCAAACAGAGCTTGCTAACGTTTTTGCCCACCGCTATGCTCTTCTCCAAGAGTGGTGAACAAATATGCCAACCTGCAGCAAATGGCGAGGTAGGGTTGGTTTGTGTCAGAGCAGCAACGGTTTCGAGGGCTCAAACATGAGGTGGCTGGATTCCGGCACTATATCGTCTATATCTGCACCGGCATGTACGTGTCTCAATTTAACTTTTGCAGTGGGCGGTAAGGACGAACCAATAGCAACTGTCCCCGACCCGGTTGAGGAAAAATCCTACCACCGGTTGCTGACAGGAAGCTATGTCTCTTTTGTTCGCAGGAAAACCCATCCTTTGGAGGGATGAGGACATATCCATGAAAGTCATCTGAACTACGTACTACTATACCCAAGGCCTGAAACTGCATTTTTTCGCCGCTCACCAACGAATATGCACATCTGTGCTGCCCCAAGGCCCCTTACACACAACGAATAAACGAAGTGCGCAGGTGAGGTGAGCTTATCGGGTTGCTCCCATTCGACACGACAGCCATATGGCCACAAAGAAAGTTGGTCCCTGGGACAAAGGCTCAACTCTCATTTGAGCAACCGTTCAACCCTGTTCCACAGACTAAGCCATCGCTCATGGTCAAAGAAACAAGCTCCAGGCAGAAAACACTAGGAAGTGAGTCAGCCACCCGGAGCTTCTCTCGAGGCACAAAGGTGTCCTTTGCTTTCCCTTTGAAGCATCTCAGTCAAAGGAAAAGGGGCCTTAAAGGTGATATTTGTGTGTCTAACTGTTTAACTGTGTGTATGTATCTTTGTGGAGGGCACCCTTTTTGGGTGAGAAAGCCGAGGCAAATCCATATTTTTGCACATACCCAGTTGGAACCCTCCGACATCTCTGGGGGTATGCTCCTGACCGGGACCCGTGCAGCAGGATATGGCTGGAGTTGCCCTGTGGCACCTCGAGCTTCTGGAAAGGGCACCCGGAAGCTTGACTAGTACTTAGGTTCCCAAAGAACAAGCAGTTAGTACCTGGTTTCCTCTTTGGGTTTCCCACTTTCTTCTGGCTTAAATTAGTTTGGATCTTGGCATTTGTTTTAATAAAACAAACGCCACGATCCAAACTGTATTCCTAAGCCCAAAGTGAGCAGCAAAACAAGCACAACAACCCAACCGGCTGCGGAACTTTTTGGGGCCTCAAGAAGGGGCTGACCAGACCCGATGGCCGTGGGGAAAAAGGGGGCACTCTTTGCTTGTTAGTTAAAGGGACAACCCGTCAAAATAAGGAGAGCAAGGGCACCACTAAAAGTCTGGGAGTGTTTTTTCAAGGGCACTGTCGCAGCCTTGGGGAAAAACAATCGCGTTCCCCGAAGGGTGGTCTGACAGAAAAACCTAATGTTGCGTTGAGCTTTCAGGACTTTTTGGCCCAATGAAATCAACAACCGACCAAGGAAAGGGCTTTGTTGACCCATTTACAAGGGGGGAATTGCTTTTCATCTTCCCCCCTTAGAGGAAATCAAAGGACATTGAAAAGCCCTTGCGACAGGGGTCAAAAAGGCAATCCCCGAGCGGCAATGACAACTGAGAGGTTGAGAGCGCTTCTCGGAACCTTCCAAAGAAGAGCCAACCATCCAGCTTAACTTGCTTACAACCAGGGGCCATGGGGAACAAGAACACCTGTGTGCCTGTTGATGTCAAAACTGTTGGCGCAAATTGGTGCAAATGCCCAGTGTTTCATCTTCACACCGAGGTTGAGGAGGGCGTGGTTCTCACCAACCGGTAGGTCCCGTCCAGGGACAGCTTCAGATGCCAAAGCTGCGGCAGCTCCAAGACTTGAGCCACGAGGGCTGGCACCAATGGCACGGTGACCTCGTTCGCGTTGAAGACGGAGCTCACTGCTTGTAAGACGTCATGCCGCTAGTCTGCTAGACCGTGGAATTAAATCACACAAAGGCCCAACCTCTAGTGAAACAACAAGGGGAATGCACAGACACACAAACACGACAAGAACCACTGCGGCAAACAAGAAGTAACAGATACGCGCAAAGACATCAACCCACACAAAAACACAAACGCACTACACACACTTAGACCCCCAGGTCAGACCGAATGGGATAAACACGCATAGACTCCCAAGGGGCTATACGGTATACCAATCAAATTGAATGAGCATGTCGTGTGCCACGGCTCGAGTGCCAAGTCAAGCAGAAGAAACGAGTCTAGTCAAAATCGCATCCCTCTAGGTACTTCAGCGTTTCTGCAACTGAAGGTGCAAAGAGTGGCGTCCCCTCGAACACACACAATCACACACAGACACACAAACACACACACACACAGACACACAAACACACACACACACAGACACACACACACACACAGACACAGACACAGACACAGACACACAAGTCAAACATGAAGAGCACCATACATCCAGAGCAGCAACACACGTGCAACAACTACATTGAGGATGTGACTGATGTTTGTTTCTTTCAAAAGGTGTGCCACCGTTTTTGCGAGTTAGGCATGTTTGCGCGGCAACAGTCCAAATCAGAGGTTCAACATATTATTTACTTGGTCTAGTTACCTAGCAATCACGGCAAATGTCTTCCGCAGATCTAGGGAAGTGCATGAAACTAGGCACCCGTCGGGTCGGAATCAGCATGAAGCCAACTTGCTTTTCAAGTAAACAAGGACGCACCCTTTGAGTCCTTTGAGCAGCTTTAAAAGGCCTAAGATTGTCCAAGGACGCCTAAAAACAATCTGTTGTTTGGATCCGCCTGTTTCCTCTACAACGGAAACAGTCAAACAGCCCACCCTGGCGTGACTCTTCCTGCCTCAGGCGGCACGGCCAGCGTCTGGGCGCCGGAGCCGTCGGCAGAGCCCAGGAACGCGGACTGGCCGGGACGTTGGTATCGAGGGGAACCCTTCAACAAACATGTGTCGTGCTTAAGCTTCGAGAAGGGGTGCGCAAAATTGCACAAAGGTCGCTAAACATGGTGTACGGTGTGCCATACTATGGGTTTGCTCAAAATAGTGGACCCCCTGCATGATCCCGCCAGCATGGGACTTGGTGCGCACGCTGCTTTCTCGAAAGGAATTGTTTCGTCACGCTCCCTGTTGGTTGGTGGAAGGGTAACCCGGCAAATTAGCAGAAAGCACTTTACAAGGGTTCCCCCGAAAGAAATGTCCTCTGCAAATGAGGGTTTCGGTTGCATGTTGACCTGCAGAGGTGCAACTGTTCAAAAACATGACTCCTGCATCAGCACTTTGCTTTGTGCCGCAAATGAAGTTGAGCAGGGTGACACTCATTGAGGCGCCCAGCTCGGCTTTCGACCCAACAAGGGGACTGAGTTTGCTACCACAACTCACCGACAGTAGACTATAGACGAGTACCCAGGCAATTTGAAAAGCCCATGGGACACTATTCAAACCTCTTTGTTGAGGGGATCCTTGACTTTTAGGGGAATGATGCCCTGCTGCTTTGCCAGGTTGATAATATCAGGGCTCATTCATTTGGATCATGGGGATTGCTCTTCAACCCGTTCCCTTCGTGAATATTAAGTTGTGCTCCATCTAGATGTTCAACCAGGAAACCCGTCATGGTGCAGAAACCGAGCAAGAGGCATCAGAGTCCTCTTGATCTCTTTTGGAGGGTTCTAAAACCGCCAGGCAAACCAACATCGTCAAAGTAGGGAACCCTGAAGTGAGTGGCTTCTTTCCACTTTTTCAAAGATGCTACCCTCAAAATGAGACATTGGCGGAGGTATTCTTACCAAGGCCAAACGAAGAAACACGGAGTGGTATCCCAAAGTGCTCCCGAGGCTGCCAAAAACTTTGGGACCTACCCCTGAGCGTGGTCTCCCATTGGACCCATAATCCGCCGACGCCAGTCGAGCGTGTAGATGGCAGTCCGCAACTTGGGCTTCCTTCGGAATCTCTTATCAAAGCCGAAGGCTTTTGGGACTGCTATTTGTTGGGCATGCTGTGCTAGGTGTCCAAAACCCTGTACTGTTTTTTGGGGTATTTGAGGGGGTTGCTAGTATCGGTTTTTGATGGTTGCTTTTGGGAAATATCGAAAAACCTTGGTTTTTTTGAACTTTTTTGTGGCTAGCCGGCTGCATTCCCAGCATTCCCCACATCTCTTTGATTTTCTGTGTTTGGTCAATGTTGCGTGTCTGAAAGTCTTAAAACCTTGAGCGCGAAGATTGGGTCTGTTCCTGTAAGCTGTGTGGTTGCATCCCTTGCATTTCCAGCATCCTCAGCATCTGGGACATGAAAAACAGGAAAGTGCCAAGAAGGCCTTGTTGTACTTACAAAAAAAGGGGATTGCTTTTATACCCTTTCGGGGGGTGGTTTAAAGAGTAGACCCTAGTGTTCTTCTCCAGTGCTGACTCCAGATTGATCAGCCCCAGTTTATTAATAGGGGACTGTTCACTGGCGTCGGCGGATCGCGTAGCGAGTTCAATAAACGTCCAGGTACTTGGACTTTACGTGGGATGAACTGTGACCACTCGGCCCCCTCCGTCATCTGGATCCACCAATCAGCCTCGGAGAGGTAAGCCTCAAAGCCCTGCACCTACCAGGATTGTCTCAAACAGTTGCGCTCTCCCAAGTTGTTGTTGCTGCTAGCCAAACGTATCCAACGGGTCTCGCCCATTTTGAGACCCCACAAATTTGCTGGGACTTTGTTTTGGGGTAGCCTGGGAACAGCTAGTTGTCTCAACTGTTGCCAAATATTAGGCAACGGGCAAAGCTGCCCAGTAAACGGGTCACATCTAAATTCAAGATTCCATCGGATATCAACATGTCAGATGCGAATGTCACTCTGTGGTAACAGTCCTTTTCATTTCTTGCTTCCCGACCAAATCTGGTAAACCTCACAATGTAAAATGATGCACGCTGATGCAAGGTTCATGGGACCAATGGGAACCAACAAATTCGGATGCATCTCGCAAGCCCCAAACCAACGTAGCTCTTTAGCCTAGATCGGGTTCTTTGGATGCTCCCCGGACCCCACAGACCGGTCGATTTGATTTGATTGATTGATTGATTGATTGGATTGGATTGATTTGATTGATTGATTGATTGATTGATTGATTTGATTCATTTGATTGATTTGATTGATTTGATTTGATTTGATTTGATTTGATTTGATTTGATTTGATTTGATTTGATTTGATTTGATTTGATTGATTGATTGATTGATTGATTGATTGATTGATTGATTGATTGATTGATTGATTGATTGATTGATTGATTAACCTCTTGGGGCAACTTTGGAGCCCCTTGAAGGAACAGGGAAACCAAGCCTTGTTCAGGGTATCGTTCGCAAAACCAGGTGTTCCGTCGTGTAAGTACCTTTTGCGCTCGGGGAACTTTGAGTAGGGGGTATCCTGAGGCCAAGCACACGTGAAAACACATTACACCATGGTTGAAACATGTAGGTTCTTCTTCAAAGGGGTCATGGCTTGCCCAACCCTGCAGGGTAGTCACCAAGTTCCCATTTTCCATGCTGGGATTGTCTAGAACACCAAAATCCACCAGGGTAACAGTAAAAATCGAAAGTAAGGGCCGTGACTTGAAAACAAGCAGGGACAAATATCCTTCCGCCAATACTCATGGAAGCTGACAGATGGTTTTTCAAAATCCCGGCAGGTGCATTTGTTTGTTGCTTGAGTTCTCATTCCAGGTTTGAAAAAGACAGAAGCCCTAAAATCCCTAAAACAGATAGACGGCTCGATTTGCGCAGCTTTCTTTGCAATCCCAAGCGCCCTGGTCCGGTGGAGCATGGCAACAGCGGGGAGGCTTGACTTGTGCCCCCTATCCGCGATTGCTCGGAAAAACCCGAACGTCAGATTCGGTCGAATGGCTGTGGTCGCAAGCCAGGCTGTCCTTTGCTTGTTTTGCGGGCTGCACACAACTAAGTCCAAGATGAACAGCACCCTCTCGATCATCTCAACTCTGTTCCACACCTCAAGTCCCAAACACATCTAATTCCAGCACTTGCCAGCAACTTGCTTCCATATATTGCAGGGCAGAACACATCCTTTTGTTCCCCATTACTAAATTTGCCCCCCCCTTTAATTGCAAGGAAACCGAGAGAAAACACACCAAGCGGAAAGCAAACCATGGCCGCTAGAACATCTTGGCCCCCTATATATATATATATGTCCCTGTACCCATCACCCAACTTGAAGCTCAAAGGTGGTGCTTCAAGCCACAAAGAAGGTAAAACATGGTGAACCCTGAAAATGACACCACCCGAAGTCCCATCGTTCCAGCGCCTGAGAGGTGTCTCCCGCCACGACCTGCCACTGCAGAGTGCCCCCCAACTCGTCCTCGTCCAGGTCCTCAATTCAGGTGACCCGAACCAGCGATTGGCTCCTGCAAAAAAAGACTGGAGCCCCCTAAAATTGACTGATTTCCATGGGATATGGAAACCGGCCCTTTTGGCGTTCAATGTAAATTTGTAGAGGACAAACTCAAAATGCCAACCTGGGAACCAGGGTGCCAGGAGAAAGTGTTTATTCCTCAGTGCACTGGTTGACTAAACCCTGAAACCCTAAGATGGAAGTGAACCAATCAGATTGTGAAGATCTGTCAATCAAACCTGACTTGGGAATGCGTTAATCAGACTTGGACCCCTACCAACGGAAAGACACACGCAGATGGCTTCTGTATAGCACTTGGGGACAGCAAAATGAAAGCCACTGCTGCTTGCGGGGGCTGATTGCATGCCAAATTATGTCCAATCAAATTTGGTGTATGTCATGTGTCCAGCTATCGGCATTCAGTCAGCACATCCTCAATAAAACAATCAGCAGGTTCCTGCTTGGGAATACAAGGGAAACCACACACATCTTCACACCTTGCCTTCCAAGAACACTTACCTTGCATCGTAGTCGATTCGGACACAAACCCGGCCCAAGTCCATTCCTGGTCCGTGAAGTTGGCCAACAGCCCCACGAAGGCGTCGCTGGTGGCCTGGATGGCTTGGATGTCTCAGCTTGAGCCCTCAAATCAAGGCAACCCGATCGGCGCAGCTAAAGGAAAAACACAAAAACTCGAGATCGTGTTGTAGAGGCTCGGACCAAGCCTGCTCTGGGAGATGGTTTTAAGATATTTGGAGGGAAAGCGAATAGAAACTGACCTGGAGATGGGCAAACATGGAGCAGATTTAAAGCCATGGAGAGATATTATCTGCTATTGATTTTCCGGGGAAATAACTGCCTCATACCATATACCTCCAAACATCATAACTGAAAACGATGCTAAATTGGACGTGTCTCAACATGGGCAACCCTGTTGTTGATGGCCAGAAGGGAAACCGACGGGCGCCAACCACCCGGAGCAGGGTGGGTCCACCCTTGTGTGGCGTGCGCATGGCATCCAAGTGTTGAATCACGTGACATGTCTAGTTGAATCGAGGGATATGGGTATGTTGGAAACCCAAAAATGATTGGTGTCCTTTTGGTTTCCCTTTAAACCAGCCCAAAAAGTCTTTCAAAAAAAACCGCAACATACGGTGACGCAAATTCAGAAATCTAAAATTAGCTGATTTGGCAAGGAAACCAGTAAAACCCTCGGGTCTGCACTATTCAAAGGGTGGCTGAACTGGCTGATCCTCAAAATAATGCAGTGGCGGCTGTAAGGGAAAACACTTCCAACAGTAGTTTGAGAACTCCCTCAAACCTTGACTTTGATGGACCCAGTCGATGTGGAGCTGTTGTTGGCTGACAGCACAAGTTGACCATGTTTAGGCTTTAACCCCAACAAACAAACATTCTTTTAGAGGGTGATATGCACTGAACAGTCTCCTAAAATGCCTGGTCTCCTCTTGGTTTCCATTTGAATACCAACCCAAAGAGGATCCGCCATTTTGAAAAACTCCCGAGGAAGCCATGGCCCAAGCACGGCCTGCCTGCGCCACGGGCGTCGTCTGCTCCGCCAGACTCGAGCGCGCGAAGACGGTGATGAAGCGGAAGATGCCCGGCGCTGTGTCTGCCGCTAACGGCGCCTGGAGCGAACCCAAACCGAAGCGGAAATGCCAAAACGAAATGCCAAAACGACACTCTGGGAGTCCTGAAGGATACAATAAATCAATAGTAATTCTAGTGGTTCTCCTAAGTGGTAAGTATAGTTGGAGTAACTATAGTGATTGCAGCAGCACGGTTAACACTAGCGATCGAACTATAGGAAGTGCCGTAATTAGTCCTCGGAAAAACTATAAGGGTTTGGACAGCCGTCAGAGAAGGATCTAGTTTGCAACACATGATTGTGGCCTTTTGTTAGAGGTTCCCCTTGTTTTTGGTTCCTCAACCATCTTATTGACCCAAATAGTTGTTCAGTAGCAGGGTAGGCTTCTAGACATAACTTTTTTATGGGTGTTGTGGACAGCTGGCATTTTGTGCGCCTTCCAAAGTCACTCAAACCAAGTACAACTCGGTATGTGGCGGGTATATATGGTCAAGGGTTCGCAAGTCCCCCCCCTCCTTTTCATGGTTCCCAGTCCTCCCCCCCCCTTTTTGGTGTGGTTGGGGTGTGGTTAGGGTTGGTTTGTGGTTGGTCTAAGACCACCCCTCCACCCCTCCCCCCCTCCCTGTGGTGGGGTTGTAGTGGTTTAGACTTCGTTTAGGGTTGATCTAGTTGTAGTGGTTTAGGATGGTTTAGGGTTGGTCTAGCGTGTTTTGTGTTGGCTTAAAATAATGGTTTAGGGTAAGTTTAGGGTTAGCTTGGGCGCAGAGCGTGCCGAGGTGTGGGTTCAGGGGGTGAAAGGGACCGCAGCAGCAGGGGGTTCTGCGGAGGGGGGGGGGGATACCATTGGGGGGCTGAGCGGGGACTGGGAACCCGGGACCATATATGCTGAAAGCAAATCAAGGTGCGTGACAAGGGCCCATGTCAGACAAGGGCCCATGACATTTAGTAAAGAAAGGAAAGGCCGTGCTTGCTTTTGCTTAACCCCCTTGACCATCCTTGTGCCTGTGCTCTGCTCAGGGTGCTGAATATGTTTGGCGCCATACTGCGCCATGGGCACTGCAATGACGCAGCCCTCATTGCGGCTACTTTCCACTTCCACGTTCACATCTATGACGTTGTCTTCTTTTTTGGCGTGTTTTGGGTGCACTCTTCTAGGATTGATGCATCTGCGCTGTAGGCTGTTCCCATTCACATGCCTCTTGGAAAATTCTAAAGAAAACCACACCTTGCCGCACTGCTAGTTCTCATGGGTCGGATGCGATTTGCAATTTTGTTCTGGGATTTACCGCCTTGGTGGCTTTCTTTAACCGCGGCTGCTCAAATCTGCTCAGCCTCACCACCGTCTCCATGTGGACAGGAACACATGTAACCCGGCCCAAGCGCGGATGAGGCTGCGACTTCTGGAAGGCCATCCCGGGTGATATGCACCATCCTCCGCTGATTACACGCTTGCAAGAGTCCAGAGAAGGCCTCATTCCATTCTTCCTGGACGCGTCCAACTTGTTCATCACCTTGCTTGACACACTGACTGCGAGCCAGTCATCATCCAGGAATTTGAGAGAATTTGTGATTAGACTTGTTCTTTGACTGCAGAGGTTGCTGTGGCCAGGCTTTCCATCCATGTCAGTAAGACAGCACGTCGCCTGCAATGCGCCCAGGCGTCCCGTGCTGCGGCTCATTCAGCACTGCGCTGGATAGGCTTGCGCGCTAGCGGCACATCACGCGCGTGGCATTGCGCATGTAGCGTGATTCTGTCTGTGCAGGTTGCTCTCACTCGCGCCCACAGGATCTGGAAACAAAGGGGGATCAGCTGTTGGGCCAGAAAGCCATCGTCATACATTTCGTTATGAATTCGGCAAAGGTGAGCTCACATTGGTTTGTTAAGTATTCCCCCCCCCCCCCCCCGCCCGCCGCTTTGGGCGAGCAGGGTCGTCCTTTGGCCCAACATTCCAACGGGCACCTACCCCAACTTTTCGCTTGCTTCAGCAACTTAAAGTTCACAAACTTGACCGTACAGCGCGGCCTCTGTAGAAGTATCCACTGGTTAAGAACTTGAGACTCTGAGCATCCAGACACCTCCCCCAAAATAATGCTGCCCGACAAACCAAAGTCTCTCATCCCAAAAGCCGCAGCTTTTCGAGCCACTCGCTCATTGAGCAGCAAGCATTTGCTGGCAGAGTTTTCCACCCTCTGTCATGCCATCTTTGTCGACCAATTCACAGAGCAAAGCTAAGAGGGATCTCAAGCACTTCCCGGACACTTGACTTTGTCAGAGTCACAGGTTCTCCACTGCGCAAAGTCCCAGCTAAGAAACTTTGTGTAGCATGGGCGTGTAGCCTGAAAGAAAAACATCACTGCCAATACAGTAAAACAATCTGCGAATTTCAGTGTCAATAGCTTTACATGCCCCAAATACCTGAGGGACCTGCTTAGAACAATTACAATATGTTTGTATATATATATATGCCTTAGAGTGCGAGTCACACTGGCCAAACCTTGGCAGATTCGTATGCAGCGGCTGGGCTGCATTGACCAATTCCCTCCAAAACCAACGGGCGTAACTACCGAAAATATCCTGGCCTCGTCGCCCCTTCCAAACTGCAAAAACAAACGTGACCGCATAATTACCCCACCAAAGAAGGTGATGGAACGTGCCTCCAACTGATGTCAACGTTCCACACCGCCCTACCACAAGAAACATCACTTAAAATTCGCTCGAAAATGTGATCGTTTCTGGGTTGGTGACACGAGCGCCCTCCTCCTTCCCAATGGTCTCACAATCATCGGTAGGCCACGGAAAGCCAACAGCCGCGGAAAGGGCAACAGCCGACACTTGGGCACCTTAGGTCACCAAAAAAACGCCCTTGATCCCTTGTGCAATCGATCTAAAGCTTTTTGTTTGCAACGCAAAACCCAGCAAAGCTGTGCCTTCTCTTTACATGTCAGGCTTGGTCAAATCAATGTCTGCGCGTGAGTTTCTTTGTCCTGTCAGATTTGACATTGAACACCGATCGATGATATGGGAATATTAGGGAACCCTTCGGGAGCGCCCAGTCACCGCCCCGCTCCGTCGCCTGAAAAGGCTCCGCGGACACGTCGCCAATCGCCTGGCGCTCATCCCCGGAGGCGTTCACGCTGAGGTACACGCGGTAGTCCTGGCAAAAGATACACATCCGCCCCCAAATCCACCTTCGCAGTCTCCACCCGCTGCTTTCTAGATGTTGAACAAATATACAAAGTTGCTCCAAGAACAACAAACTGATAGTCGTTTTTGGTCAGAGGTTGACGTCATGCTGCCCTGAAAACAGCTGGGAATCCGCCGACCCCATGCCCTCTCCCTCTTATCCGCCATCCATCGCGTCCATCCATCCAGCCCGCGCGGTGGACATGCGAGGCCGCCGCGCAGAGCACGATAATTGAAAATAGCAGTTCGAGCGTGAACTTTGCTTGTGCAACCCGCAGCTCTGTAGGATTGCATGCAACAGTGCAACCCGCAACCTTGCAAGGAAACAACGCAAAGCGTGCGAAGACGCAACTTGCACGTACAAGTTGCAGGCAACCCGCAACCAACGGTGCAACCCACAACCCTAAATAAAGGATTACAGCGCAACGTGCAAAGTGCAACCCTGAAGAATGCATGGCGCAACAGTGCGCGGCACGGTGGGGCAAGTCCGGTAGCCCAAGAGTCCCAAAACCCCTGAGGCTGTAAATGCGGCCGTCTGAGGAATTGATTTTGGCGGTTCCAGAAAAAGAGGAAAGCCTGCTATTTGAAGTTTTCGGAGGTGACATGTTTTGGGCCCGATCGGCGTCCCATGCCGCCAAAACAGGCTCCAATGCCCCGTGCTTGAGACGTGAACCCAGTCTTGAAGCTGGACTCGTCGGGAAGAAGAATGCTTACCTTGAGGGTCACTTTCCAGTGTTGGGTCAACTCAAACAAGTGCCTTCCCAGTTTCAAGGCCTTTCAAAACCTAGTTGCTATGGGGGTGGGGTCGTCTCTGGGGTCCCCGGGCCGGGCTCAGCTATCAGCGCTAACAACGCGCTTCTCATGGGTCGGGGTCTCCAAAAAACGATCAATTCATGTGTTTTTGACCAACTTGTTCAGCCAATGGTTCCTTCCGACACTCTTCCGCCCAAGAAGGTCGACCTGCATCCTTCAAATATCTTCAAATTTCGCAGGATTCCATGCACCTTCATGTCTCAGGGGAGAGGCGGATCCTCGAGAAGAGCTGACTAGTTCCCAAAAGCAGACTCTGGCATGCTTGCTGGGTTCCAAGTTGATACGCACCCGCGCAGTTCTACACATCGGGTGTCCTGAGCGTCGCTTTCCGTTTCAAGGGCCCCTCAAAAATGTTTTTCGCTACGGCGCTCCCCCCGACTTGGCTATTCGGCATACCAACAAAAACAAAAACAACGAAACAAGCGCTGGGAAATCTAGAAGGCTCACAACTGGTACCAAGAGTCCCACACCAATGATGTAACTGTGTGTACTCAACAATCCATCTCCTGGGTTGACAATTTGAACCGTGGCCCATCCATAGCCAGTCCCGTGTTTGTTTGACCTGTCCGTATCGGGTCCCTTTTTTGTGGTCAGCCGACCTCCACCTGCGTCCCATCCGACTCATTCCACAAGACGACGCCCCCGAGCTCCGACTCATCAAGGTCCTCGAGTCGACGAGTTGGGTGCGCTTTGGGTTGCGATATTTCTCCAAATGGTGGACCCCATTTGCGGTGGGTACTTTACAAAACCAAAAGGACTGCAAGCATCTTAAAGGATCCCTACTCTGAACAGAAACATGTGTAGTGTTGTTTTCTTAGCTTGCAGGGGAGTAAGAAGTTTCCACCTCCAAACTGACAAGAAGGAAAATCCGGACCCCATGAAAGCAACCTTTGCAGGTGAGGTCGTGACCCCACTTGCGAAGTCGCTTCCAAATAATGTTGCTGCTTGAGAGAAACGCAGAAGTCACTGGATAACTGGCCCTTTCTAGAGGCAACCACACTCAAACAACTCCTAAAAGGAGGTACGTTTAGTTCCGCAATATTACAAGAGAGCCGGGAAAGCTCTGTGATCTACCATGATTCGTGGTTGCAACATGTCGCAATCTCTAGAGAATCAACAGTAGCTACAGGGCTGACCCTTGCCACCCCCCACCCCACCCACCCACGCCGTTCCAAAGAAAACAATCCTGGACTTGCGCTTTTCTGGCCAATCCATTTCCCAAAAAAGCCAATCGATCCTTTATCCTTTTCGCTTCAATGTGAGCCATATTTATGCAAGGTTCTTAAAAGCTCAGCCTAGGTCCATTGGCCAAATCCTCGTAGGGGCACTTTGGGTTCTTAAAAACTCAACCTATTGTGTCCAGGTTCGTTGCGCAAATCCTCGTCCGGCCCCTGTTGCCAAAGTCACCCAAGTGGCAGGCTGAAGGGAAACTCCTGTGTCTGACTTTCACCCCCAGAACCATCAAAGTCAAGTGGTAGATCGAGAAAAAAAAAAAAAAAAAAAAAAAAAAAAAAAAAAAAAAAAAAAACACGAGTTTCTGGACCCCGAGAAACAGGCCAAAGTAATGACTCCAGTTGATAGTCCTTGTCCACGAAGACCAGGTTCTCCACCGAGGCGTTGGTGTCGTTCACCCACAGCGCCGACGGAAAACTTTGCTCCGCAAAGCGAGACCTCGAAACTTGAAGCTGGTGGGTTGTGGGTTCTTGGCCCATGGTCGCTTTCTTGGGCTGGTTATCCACTAGCACTGGATTTGTTTTAGGGCGGGCAACCACCCCGCGCAGAAAACGACAACAGGGTATTTCCCTTTGAGGCTTGCTCCAAACAGAATGCCCCGAAAGCTCCCGGCGCGCCTAGTGTACACTGCCAGGAAGGAGAAGGTGCCCTTGGGCGTATCCACTGGAAGGCTGAGGTTGAAGATACCTGGCAAGCTGGAAACACCATCCCCTTCCAAGGATCCTGAGAAACATGTTCCATGTTCACTCTTTTGGCTCAAATGTTGGGATCCAACCCCTCTCCGATCCCCGTCTCTTTCTTAGGAAACTGGGGGTGGCTCTGGTCGAAACTGGGTGTTGAGCAAGGCAAATGGAAACGTCAAAGAGCTTGAGGGAATGCGTGTTTGCTTGTTTCAAGTATCCTCCTCATGTGGCCTCATCTAAAGACAACCCCGTATGTCCTACCCAAACCCATTTAAGGGGAAAAACCATTTGAAAAGGCCTTCTTTGTCCGCAGAACATACAGGAATGCCCTTTGTAGGTGACAAAGCTTTGGATGCCCTTACTAGGCTTGCCACAGGACTCCCCAAAACTAACAAAGGGGGTCCATGACCAGTCCCTTCATAGAGACAAGGTCCTGCTAAATGCTGCAAAAACAGTGGGTTGCGCACAAAATTGGTATCTACGGGGTAAAACTCATCATGAGTAAAATAGGTTACGTTGCAGGGGTTCCTTAGCTCCCGAAAAGTTGGGGCAACCCTGACGAATTGAAAGCTACCCGGAGACCAACTGGATGAAGCTCCTTCAGTTTCCCATTTCAAGGCGGTTCACCTGGTGAGTTGACTAAGCAAAGTCAACAAACTTGTTGGCCTGGCTAAAATAGACATCTGCCAACGAAAAGCTCAAACATAACTGTAAGGCTCAGTCAAACCTGCGGACTGAAAAGTGATGTTTCACATGGCTTCTAGGGAGTGGACACGAGAGCTGAAAGGAAATAATTACAAGGCACAAACGAGGAAACCCTGAAGAAAAGGGCGCCAAGAAAAACTTAGGGGACAAATGAATCCCTGCCAGAAAGATGCAGAGCAATAGCACCTCGTTGAAACATGGAAAGATCCGAAACGAATTTCGCTACGGGCCCCTGGCACCGAGCAAAACCAGCGCCTGCATCCACCTCCCCCACCGGGGACCGGGATCCGATTCCTTTTGCTCCGGCCGCAAGGTACACAGCGGTGCGCCAGGCGCCTGCACCGGCAAGGGGGCACTTGATTTGTGAGTTGACGAGTTGACCTTCAGAGCTTGAACTAAATATTCTCTAAATGTAGCCTCAGAGCACCTTCACTTTCAACCAGGGCACCTTTCAATAAGGTATTAGCCAAAGGAAGTTTGATAAGAAGTTCCATGGTACCGTGCTCTTAACGAGGAACACATGCACTGCGAGTGCAAGAGCAAAGACAACGCTGGATGACGTGAGAACTGAGGAAGAAAACATGGCCCCGTGCACAAGAGCTACTATCTGGCTAGCTAGCCACGACAATAGCCAACCAGCTGGACTATGAACTCAACCAGCTGACTGGCTAATCAGCTAGCTAACCATCTAAGCGTAGCTGGCCAGTTAAGTAAGCGTAGCTGGCCAGCCAACTAGCCAACTCGCGGACAAGCAAATTGACTTGTTAACTTGCTGATTAGCTAGCTAGCTATCTGAGCTAGCTAGTGAGTTGCTGGACTGCACGTCCAAGCTGGCTAAGAACCCCACCACAACTCCGCACTTTACTCGTGCATTTTGGCTGGCCATGTTGTTTTGAGTTTCCCACTGGAAGGGCCACCCACGCGTTTGCTTTTAGGGTACGTATCATCTCTCATCTCTTGCCCAATTTGACCTGTGTGAAAGCGACCACCATGGATGAGCTCGCAAACAGACCCGTTTCTGACACGCTGCTCTGGCCTGTTGAGCTGACTGGCCAGAACTTTTGGGGGGCCTTAAACAAACATCCTGTCAACTGCATTGAGCTCTGCTATCACAATGGATTGCCACCCCAACATCAAGCTAAGTAAAAGAAGACCAGATGAAAAGGTGATCCCAACGGGGAAACAAGAGACACTGGCCTCAGTACCATGCTTTAACAACCTATATGCATGATCATTGAAGGACTTTCATTGTGGGTGGAATCGCCGGTTTTGTTGCCGGATCGGTGAGCTCTCTAAACAATGTGCAGATCTTGTCAACACGGACCTTCTCCCGTACATCAAAGCCCAAACAAGAAATCACAAGCACCCCTGCATAAGTTCATCAGTTTCAAAAACCTGGGAACACATCCTTCACCGGGCAGCCCTGTGGTGGAAATAGAAAGCTACCCAAAGACCGGGCACAACTAATGCTGGGCGTTCAATGCTCTGGAAAAATAACCTGACAAACTTGCCCCTCGCCCTCTGGTATCCGCTTAAGGAAACTGACAATTGGAGGCTGCTCCTTTTGCGGACCCTGCGAATGAAACTACGAAATCCCCGGAACAATGGTAGAATCATGTTCCTTGGTAAAGGTAGACCAAAGAAGGTCTAAATAAATTTCTACCAACTTGAGGTTTGTCGGCCTTCAAAGGTCAAAGGAGCAGCTCAATCTGATAAGAGGAGCTTACAACGGGGTTCCTGAAAGCTCCCTTAACTGTTGTGGACACAGCCCTGCCGTTCACTCCCTCAACTCTATTGTGTGGGGGACTGATTTGAGAAAAATGACCTAGCCATACACCCAAGCATGGAAATGATATCTACCAAATGGTCAATTTGTTTGAGCCTGGAACAGAGGCTGCGAAAATCCCTGGAAATGGATATCAAACCTGATCAATGGCTGTCCATGGAAGTTTGATATCTCCACCTGGGGTCCCTTCAGCCGGAGTCACCGAGTCGGTCGACTGCCCGTGAGCGCCTGTGCCCTCGAGCTGCCAGGCCACCTCGCCCCCGAGCTCAGCGGCGTCCAGGTCCAGGTCCGTGAAGGCCACGTTGCTGGCGCTGGACCACACGTCCTCAGCCGAAAACAAAACACACACCAGGTCCCGGTCCCGGGTAAAGTGGTAGATCAAAGCCAAAAGCAAGAAATCGCACTTTTAAAGAAGTGGGGTGCCTGGTTAGGAATTTTATGGCTGGGAACTTTGGGGTTGAACAACTATATGGGTTGGTACCTGTCCTTATTCGCCCGGGGACCCCCAGTAACCAATTTGTTGGTAGAAAGCCCAGATCCCTTGTCAACCATGGTCTGGCACTGATGTGCAGACGACTTCCCTAAGTGGCAGAATGACCGCTGTAAACCATGGACTAGCGATGATCATGCGAGGACTGCTAGACATGTGTTCAGTTTTATTGGGGTCCGGTTTCGGTCTTGAAGTCTTAGGAGGATTTCTAGCAAACCTTACTAGAGTGGTGCTTTTGCTGAAGCAATTTTTGCTTGCAAGTTATGTCATGTCTGACAAGTTTGGGGAGGGTTTGACGGTGACCTTGGGGGGCTTGCAAACTAGGAGTCGGAAGGTTTCATGAAAAAGGATCTGACGCGGAAGAGGCTGTTCCGAGGGTGGGTTGGGACCATCCCCATTGTGAAGTGCTATCAGAAGGACACAAATCTGTAGATGCCACCAACCTGTCGCGGGTTCAGGACACCCTGAACAGTCCTATCGAAAGGTCTCAGTTGATACCTTTGCGTCAGGATCCAAGCATGGGACGGGTTATAGGGACACCCTGTAGCCAAAACCATGTCAAGAATTGGCAGATATTGACGGGAAGGACAGCTTCCGCCCCTTCCCCCATTTATACCAAAACTGTCCCCCTCCGAGTTTCCTTCTGGCTCACTTGGGGGGAGAAAAAGGCTTCCGTCTCGGTAAAGGGACCACTTAGAGGAGGCACATTGCGCGTCCTTCTGCTGAAGCTTTTTTTGGGTGAACACGTGTGGGCTCCATGCCTCCAACAGGAAGCCATACGACCAGGGGTGCCGTTCCCACATGTTTTCCTAAAGGACAATCTGAGCATCTGCTTGAGTCCGTGGCTGTGCATAAGGTGGGACTTGCTGTAAGTGGCTGGCAATGGTGACACGAGAGAGTGCAAGGTCCTAGGGTATGCTGTCAACACAACCGCAGGTAATTTACCTTTCAAACGGCGAATTGGAGTAGGGGGGTATTGAACACTTGGCCAAGTCTGAAAAGTAACAACCCAGTCGGGGTCGACAAATGTGCCTGCAAATCATTGCATCTGGCGTGCTTTTTGGGATTGCCCCCAAACACATAGCCTGCAAATCTTCATGTCACCAAACCGACGCATGCTGTTTTCTTGGGAGCCGCCCCTCCCCCCCAAGCGGCTCCATGCCTGTTTCTTTTGGAGCTGCCGCTCCCAAAAGCACAGTTTTTGGGAGCACCTTTTGCACGTTGTTGGCTAAAGTCTCTTGGATCCGATTTGTTTTCTGATGAATCTGCCATCCTTCTTGTCAGAACGTGGCAACAACAAATAGGGACTCCTCCCCATCTTGTTTGCTTGGAACATTGTTTATAGATGTTATTTTCCCCAGACATGTCTTGGTTTGCGACCGACTTGGGACCCCAAGGCTCGTGTCTTGGGGATTTTGATGTTAGTTGTTGCGTGTTGGCGAATCGTAATTTGCCACCCTTCTGTGGGTCAGGAATTGGATGATGCTTCCATGCCCACGATGCTGGGGATGCGGGGGATGCGGACCCTGCATCACCAGCATTATCAGTATTGAAAATGGGGTGAAAAAGCGGCGGCACGGAATCGACCATTTTCTCGCAGTCGAAGCCCAGCACTCCAACGGTTTGGTTGATGAGCCTGAACAAGCAAAGAACTACTACTCAATCAGTTGGTTCAAGCAAGATCGCAACATTCAGCTGACTGAAAACACTCTTGCCTTCCAAAACCGGGCCAGACTTGGACCCTCGCAAAAAAGGCAAGCTTGTTGCTGATAAAGAAAATTGAAGAAAAACGACAACTGACAAAACTCAAAAGAAGCTCAGTCTCCCAGTGCTTCCATTTACCTGCAGCAAGGAACCAAGAAACCACCCTTTCACAGCATATCCTACAATCTTGTACTTTGATACACACAGGACACAAGTATAGAAGCACTTTACCTGGTTGTCTCCTATACTGATATCATGATGGCCTAAATGGGCTTTTTGGGCCAATACACGAATTACGACAATGATGTGTGGAAGGATTGGTCTCTTATAGCTCAGGGGCTCTAAATTGTTCTGCGTGTGAGAAACGTGCTCAGTTTGCACCAAGGACAATCATGTGTGTAGCATCCAAAAGGATCCCTCTACTCCGAACCGGGCTTCGATCGCAACAGTATAGTTTTAACCTTGGTTGCATTTTCTGTGGAGACACACACACACCCAAAAACAACCACCAGTGCCGCCGGTGTCCCTTTGTGGACTTTCGCCTGGAATGAAGTGCTGGTCAAGGCTCGCTGAGCTCTGCCGCTGTGGGTGTGCTCTGCTCCGCCAGCGAGGAAAAGGTGTAGACCTGACAACCGCGGTTTCCGGCCGTCGATTTTGGAATTCCATGAAAAAGGGAAACCGTAGCCAGGACCCGGACACCCCTGTTGGTTGAAGACACCAAACCCACCAACCCCACCAATGGATGTTTCTGGGTTTTGTTCTTGGGGGTTCCTTCGCAAGGTCAACATTGTAAGGTCAAGCGGAAGGTTTGCCTTCTTCCTCTGGAGCGTTTTCCAGGCTCAAGTCAGCCACAGGTTGTTGACTAGCTGCACCTTCTGGCGGTTGAGCTGTTCGCACCAAGCAGGCAAAATTTGTTGAGTGGCATAGTGCGAGTAGTGCATGGGGGAGGTGGGACCCCCACCCGGTTCTTCGTGTGAGTGGGATGCTTCCTTTGCACTTTTCGTGAGTGGGGGCGATCGCATTGTTTCACTCTACAAGCCGTTGGAGCAGGCACGCGTGGCGCTCATCCAGCGGAAAGGTGATGGCCTGGCATCCGAGCACATCGCAGATGTTAGTTAGCTGGGCCTCAACATTGTGGGGTGTCATTGACAGAGCTGTCCATGCGTTTCTGCATGCATCTTCCCCACTGTGGGGCGATTCAAGTGCTGACCGTTGTGTTGAACTGACTGACTGCGCACCGCTTGCTTGCGTGACTTTCCTTAAGGGATTTGATGTTGCTTGCAGGCGTACTGTCATTGAAAAAAACATGGACGTGCCGTTTCGCAGGGGGCTGCCTTTTCTGATAAGGCTGAAGCCTCATCTACTAAGTGCCGAAAGAGAGAAGAAGTTGGGAACGGAACGGATCACACCGATCCCTTGCCGGTGCCTGGCCGAGTGCGACCTCTGTTAGTTCGGTCAGTCAGATGGCAAGGGGGTCTGATGTCGAATTGCTTTTGAAGGCATGGCATGGGATCCTCTTTCAACTGCTGAAGGCAGGGGCTTTCACCCAGATAGAGGTCCTCGGAGGTCCTGCAAGGATTTTCGTTGCTACTCAACATGCCAGTTGCCTGGAGACAGGGGCTGCCTGGATTCCACACACCGCTTGGCTTCTGGAGCCCTGCGATTCTTGACCGGCGTTGTGTGTTTCTTGGTTTCTTCAACTATGCCTTCTGAGGTGCATTTGTGGCACGCAAGCGGCGTTTTTACATGTACCATGCCAATTTGTTTCTGCTGGCCGCAGGACAGGCGCTGAGGGTTGTCGCCGAGCATGCTTGTGCCATCCAGAATCAGGAAGGCGCTTGTGGGCCGTGTTTATTGCCAGTGCTTTTGATTGCGCACTGTGAAGCACTCGCCAGTGAGCATGGCAGAGTTGCTGAGCTGGCCAGATTGGCAGCCGCTGTTTTTCTGATGCTGCTCCGTCGCAAAGGCGTTCCCTCAGATGCAGTCGCCGCACACGTAGAGCAAAGTGTAAGAGCTTGCGGGCTCGCAGAGATCGAAGCGTGTTTGAAGAGCCCTTCAGATGCCACCCGGTGGAAGTTGCTGTGCGCGCTCAACTCTGCTAATGATGTCAGGCTCGTCACTGCTGAAGAGCTCAAGGCTGCCAGGAAAAAAAGCCAGTCGAAGGGCCGGCTGAACGAGTCGAAGATCCCTTGGTCGCCAATGATCCCTGGAGCAAGGCAAAAGAGAAAACTGCGCAGCAGCTGGACCTTGCTGACATGCAATTTGCCGGGGTCTTCAGATCTGAGGACACCGACATGCGCCGCAGTCACTTAGACCTGGTAAGCTTGGCGAGTTTAAGGTCTTGGTTGCAACCAGATGGAGCAAGTGTTTACTCGCAGTACACCGTAGGCTGCGCGCCCTTGTTCGGCTCGTCACCTTACGGGAACAAGGCGCGCCGAGTCTCTGTGGCGGAAAGTGCTAAAAGCCCCTGGCTTTCCGGACGGTTTGCTGCAGTGGATGCAGTATCAAGACCGCCACGTTGCGTACAGCAGCTTCATAAGCCCGTGTTCCTCCCTTGAGCAGCTTCTGTGGTTTCAGCGGCGCTTCAATGCCATCTGTCACGTGCTTCTTGCCAAGGACCGTCTGAAGTGCAAAAGGGATTTTGACGCTGATAGGGATGTTGACTGGAAAAAGGGGGGTCGACTTGTTTTTGCTCGGGCCAAGCCGCCCCTGGCGCCGCCCATACAGGCGCTGCGTTCTTCAGACGGCGAATGGGTCGCTGAGCCTAACCAACTTGCTACGCTGACGGCCGAGCCTTGCCAGCCCAGTGTGTCAGATGCCACCCATCACATGGGAAATGTGGAAAAGCGCCCTTGCAAGCATGCCGGCGCATTCCGCCATTGGGCCATGCGGCTGGCGCAAACATGAACTGGGGCTTCTCCCCAAACATGTTGTGACACCATTGCTTGAAATCTGGCAGGAAATGGAGGCAAGGCAGATGTAGCGCTCATAGCAAAAGTCTGCTCGCCAAGCACCGCTAGAGGCTGTCGCCCAGTGACAGTGTTTTCAATGCTTGTAGGTTGTGGGCGCGCATCAGGGCTCGGCAGCTTCAGCCTTGGCTTGAGCAGGTTGTGCCTGCCGTGTGGCTTCTTGGCCGGTAGGGATGCAAACGAGTACATCTTTGACTTAGCTTGCCAACTTGAACTTGCCCACCAGTACCTTGCTGAGAGTGACCGGGATGCGCCGTGCGGCATCAAGGTTTTTAACCACCTTCCTCGCCAGGCGGTTTGGCGCATCTTGTTGCAGCTTGGAGTGCCTGCCAGGTTTGTCGCTACTTGGCGTGCCAACCTTAGCCGACTCGAGCGACGCATCCGCATTTCTGGAACGTTATCTCATGCCATCACGTCATGCACTGGATATCCCGAGGGCTGCCCGCTCTCGCCCGTTGCCATGTTGTGCGTTGCAATACTTTGGCAGCAACAAGCTAGCAAGGTCTTCAATCGCAGTTGCCACTTTTGCCTTTGGCCAGGTTACGCAGGTGCTAGATGACCGCGAACTTGGGGCGCATGTCGCATACACGTGCCAGACACGCAATGCTACTGTGAAAGCACGAGTTTGTGCCGCCAATTCCATGCTTGAAAGCGCTAAAGAGGCGGGGTTCACTTTTGCACAGCGACTAGGAATGCTTAAGCGGGCTGCTTGGCCAAAGGCCTTACATTGTTGCCACGTGACTCCACTTGGAGCTGGGCATGTCCGTAAGCTGAGCACAGCCGCCGCCCAGTTTCTCGGACTTGGAAGTGCTGGGTCCATCCCGTATCTTGCCTTGGGTGTTCCCGTGCCCCCTACGTGCCATCAGGCGTTTGCCCTTGCGTGGGCTCGCATTCACAACTTCTGGAGGTGGAGACATTCCGGGTTGTTTGATCCAGGGCTCTTTAGGGACCTCTGGTTTGCTAGCCAAGTTAGGGAGGCTGCTGGCCTGATTTCCCTGTTTCACGGGGCTTTGTTGGAGTGCAACCTCACTCTCGATGAACACACTGTCCTTTACACCGATGTTGGTTCGTTCCAATTGCGGCATTTGCCGCTTGCGCAGCTTTGCCTTCTTGCCAAAAGAGGGTGGCATGGCCTGCAAGCAGGCCCAATTGCTCAGAGGAAGTTCCTTTCGGGGCTGCGGCGAGTTGACAGTGAACTTGTACGGTCCACACTTTGCAAGTTTAATGTTTCTGACCAGGGCCTTCTGCGCCAAGTCATTGTTGGGGCGTTCTACGGCCAAGCATCACAAAGCAAGTTTGACGCCGCTACTGATGCTATTTGCGCAACGTGCGGGGTAAAGAATGACCGGCTGCACCGGCTGACGTGTTGCCAAGACACTGCAAGTGCCCGCGATGACTTTGCAGATGTCGTTGCACGCATTCTCCACTTGCCCGAGCATGTGGTTGCGCACTTGCTGCCCAGAGAGAGTGAGTGCTTTAGCCGCTTCCTGGAGAGTCTCCAGACAGTGCCACAGCCGTTTTTCCGTAGCCGCCATGGTCCTTGGCGCAACACTGAGCCTTAAAATTGGTACACAGACGCCAGCGGCTTGCGCCCAACAAGCAGGTATCGTCTTGTAGCCTTCGCAGGGGTTAAGTTTTGCCCGACGCATGGTTGGACCGCATGCTTCCAGCAGGTGCTCACAGGCATCACTCAGACAGTTGACAGAGGCGAGCTTGAAGCAGTCGTTGAAGTCATCAGCAGAGTCTGGAGGTCTAATATTTTTCTGATTCAAGGTATGCATGTGACACAGTCAACCGCATTTTGCAGCACGGGTTTTGCGAAGAGGACGGTCTTAAACCTAACGCTGACTTGCGTCACCTTCTTGCTTGCCTGCTGCGTGGCAGAAATGGGGACGACGTTCAAGTGACTTGGGTCAAAGGGCACCGAGATTTCGCAGACGCCGACTCCTTCGAAGATGCAAGACATGTCGCAGGGAACTGTAGGGCTGACGCAGCTGCCCGGGAGGCCCACCACTTGTGGCCTGATGCAGTTGTCGCTGTTGCTGACAGGGGGTTTGATGGCGACCAGCGTCTTCTCGCGGACCTTGAAGGCCTTGCAAAGCTGCACCTTGCAGTTGGCAGGATGTCTGTCAAGCCGAAAGTCATGCACACTCTGAGTAAGCCACAGCCTGCTAACAGGCAGGTTTGTAGACTGCAGCGGGGTGCCGCTTCAGTTTACAGTGCTCAGTACACGTTTTGCTTGGCACTTTGTTCAGTTCCTCAGCAACTTGCGGTGGAACACTGAGGAAGCCTCTGGTGGACACGGCACGCCCATCATTTGGCTGGTCATTTGTTTTTTTGTTCTTCACACCTGACAAAGCATGCCTGGCGGACGCGAAGACAATTGGCGATGGCCCGCTTCGGCCCCCACAGTGAGGAGACAGTGCAATGTTTGCCACCTCGCCCTTGTCGAACTTAGTGCGACGGGCAGAGCGCTCGTCGCGGGACTTGAACGGGTTAAGCGGGCTAGACCTTGTGCGCCCCTCGACAAGTATGCTCACCATTGCTCACCTTGTCTTACCATTTCTGCTTTGTTCGGACTTTTGGAAGGCAGCCGAGCATTTTGCGCTTGAATGGTTTGGCCGCAATCCTGGATGGCAGTTGCGGCGGTTGCCTTACCGACCTTTTGTTTGCTCTGGTACTTTTCCTGAGAACCAGGCACGTAGCGCACGCCTTTTCCACGGCAGTACCTTCCAGCCGGCGAAGTTTGTTGAAGCTGGAATTTTTCCGGCGTGGCCCACTGGCCCCCTGGCGCGGTGGCTTCGCCGAGGCTGAGTCGCGACTTTTCGGGGGCTTGTTTCGGATTTTTTGTTTGTTTCGGGGCTGGTTCGGACCCCCTTGTGCTGAGGCCACCGCTCAGGCGGGCTTTGTGCTGGCTTTTTTGTTTTCACCGCTTAGTCGACTGAGCGGTCATGAGGACCATTGGAGAGCCGTTTTCCAGCCAAAGGCAAATCCGTTTATCACTTTATTCGAGTTTCGACCAAAAGCAAATCCGTGGTTGCTTTCGGCTCCCAAAGCGGGTCTGTGGGTCTGGTGGGGGTGGTTCAAAGGGGAGCCTCTAAAAGATGGTCAACCCCCAAGGATACAGATTCGGTCAACAGTATCCTTTGATTTGACTTTGCAGTTGCTTACAGGCAGCAATTGTCTACCTGGGTCTTTGTGCACCAGGATATATGGCAAGGTCTCGAATTGGGGAGTCTTTGCACGGTTGTAGGATCCATGATTTGCCTCGAAATGTACCCCAAACAGGTTTTTGAGCCATCGCGGGGATTTTCCTCCAAAACGACACCCTTGTTCAGGAACCCTGGCTCCAAAGCTTGTCGCCTGCACGTATCGCAGCGTGCTGAGCGGGATGTCCGCCGGTACTGTGGCAATGTCCGCCTCCGGGCCCTCGGTGGTCACGTGCTCACCCGGCCCGAAACCCGTGGAGCTGTTGGAGAGATAGACCTGGCGGATGCAGCTGTTGCTGCCGGGGGCGGTTGAAAAATGTGCCTTCTTTCCAGAACAAGAGCCATGGTTCAAAAGAATGGGAAACCCATGGTGAATCAAAACGCCAGCTTGCGAGGCCATGGCATGGCTTTGGACAACATGCATAGTCCCAAAGAAAACAAACCGGGTGAAGAAGCACCCGCCCAAAGAGCCCACTCACATTCATGGAGGTGTCCCAAAAAGAGGTGGCAAAAAACAAAGAAGAGGCACCCACCAACCAGCCAGCCAACCCACCAACCCACCAACCGCCCACCAGCCAACCAAGCAAGCAACCAAGCAACCATCAAAATAACCATCAAACCATCAACCCTCAAACCAACCACCAACTAACCAACCAACCAACCAACCAACCAACCAACCAGCCAGCCAGCCAGCCAGCCAGCCAGCCAGCCGACCGACCGACCGACCGACCGACCGACCGACCGACCGACTAACCGACCGACTAACCGACCGACCAACCAACAAACAATACCAACCTTCTCTAGGCAATTAGTCCCACAAGTAGTTTACACAGAAAAGGAACAAGTCGTGAGATGCGATTTCCTAAAAGAGGTTGCTGCTGTTGCTTCCCAAACGGAGGCTGCAAAGAAAGGAAAGGGCCGAAACCGAGCCCTGTGGGAACCAGCAGCGCGACAGGCTTGAGCCAGCTTCAATGCAAAGTTCTTACTAGTACTTTCCTATTGAACCACTTGGCCGTAGCCGGCTTTGACAGGGCGCGTGAGATTGTAGCTGACCTGACCTCCTGCCGAATGAAGCTCGACGAATTCGAGTGACTTTGATCATCTGCCAGAGGCTCGAAGCTACCCTCTTCAATTTTTCACATCCGATCAAACCCTGAAGTTGTATGCTTTCCGGGCAGCCCGTGAAATTTGCTGGGCAGCCACGGTCGACATTCAGTAGGTCCTCAACTGACATTGGATTTCTTGAATTGGCCCTTTACTCCCACAGCTTTGTGAAGGATGAAACCCATGTTGTCGCCTTTGCTACTGTATGATAACTATTGACCATTGCCCTGGGAACACACAGTTGGGAGCCCTTGGGTCCCAGCAAAAGAGGCCAAGAGGCGCCGCAATGCGTTGAACAGAGTCCAAAGGGTCGCGATCCCTTTTTGAGAAGCCGTGTCCACCTTGCCCATCAAAGAGATTCCATGTTTCAATTCTGGTCCACAACCTGGTACACCTGATATGTAGAATGATGCGATTTGAGAGGTGCAAATGCATTGTGTGTGTGCAGTTGTTGGAGATCCCATCGCCTGATACCCGCTGACGGCGGCATTGACCGTCCTGTTGGGCACCCAGGACACGTTGCCCGCCAGCTCCAGTGCGTCCAAATCCTGCCGGACGCCCAATGAGACAAACTTCTGGACCGATTGGACAAGTTTGAGTCAGAAAGGCAAACGCCGAAGTCCAAATCCCAGGCGTACTTCGAGTCCAGACTCTGGTTGGAGTGGCTGTTCAGGTCCAAAGACCTAATCTACTGTGAGGAGACGTGCCCGCCGCCAGGAAACAAAACCAAGCACCATAGAAAACAGAATGCTGGGTAGGGGAAGCTCTGGGAGGTTTGGCTATTCACTAAGAGCCAACCCCTCATGATTTCTTTTCCGGGGGGGAGGGGCTACACTTCCCCGATACATTACTTAGGGTGTGCGATGGTTGGCATGTACCATCCACTCCAAATACCCACTTGTTCTAGGGTGCTTCAACCTCTGTCTCAGAAAGGATGTATTTGCCATATGCAACCTGGAACGACCGGCTACGTGGAGTAGGGGATAGTCTAGAATGCCCCGCAAGGCTGTTATTTTTGGTGGAGCCCAGCTGGCACATTGTTCTAGTAAAAACACAACACACAATAGCTTCTCGATTTTCCTAGAAGTCAGCCTTTCAACTTGAAAGGTGAATGTATGAAGCTACCTCAGCCTGTGCAAACCAAAAACATGTTGTTCGTTGTATTTCGTGCACCTTAGGCTGTAAAGCGTTTCCAAGATTCCAGGAAGCCCCCGCCGCCGAACTTTTGGTGCACAAGAACCTATCCAAAGGCAGAGTTGTTGTCTTCCAAGTGTGCCAAACCATGCTTGTGGATAGGGTCACGTGGCTTCACCAAAATGCGATCGCTCACCAACCATAAGTCAGGAATCCCCAGAGACGTACATGGGCGAGCTCGTCTTGCACACGATTTGTAAGGGCCCTATGGGTTCGGTAACCACTGATCATGGTTCAACTATGGTTGAACTCATTGCCACCAAAGGGGCCATTTCAAATTGGAATTTCACGGGTGAATGCGTTTGGCTTCGCACAATCACCCTTTGAATGTTGCAAATAGTTACACAACTTTCCAACAATGCTGCACAAGCGTACGGTCTGAAATTGCTTATTCATGGGCCCCGTGCCCTGTAGATCTTCCTCCGTCATCAGCTGCGTGTCAAAGCTAAAAACCCCTCCAGGGTATCTTTCTTTGCGGACACCCCTGCGCTGTTTGAAGGAAACCTAAAGGGAACCCCTACCCCTTTTCGGGTCCCTTATTTTAAGACTCACCCACTGAACGCTGAAGAGGGCTGCCCCTTCCACCCAAACATAGTGACATGGAGGCCACCAGGGCCCCAAAAAGGGCCCTTGGGCACGCTGGGCGCGCCCGACACAATGGACAACCATCTGCATGTATCCCAGTATTCTGTAGTATTCTGTAGTATTCTGTAGTATTCATAGAGTTTCATCCGTGACGGGTGCCTGGCGTTGAGTTTGTCAAGTTGAGAGCCAATGTGCCAATGACCCTACCCTGCCCTGACCTGGTCCACGAAGGTGACATCTTCCGCCAATGCCCACGCGTCCCACAGCGCGGCCGCGGTGCCGGGGGTGGTCTGCTCTGTGAGAGCCGAGCGCGTGAACACTGCCTCAAGCTGCAAAAAGGTCTCTCACCAAGGACTGGGAAACTGCCCAACTTCGCAATCCCCAAACCTTCTAATCGTACTTACGTCTTACTTCGTCTAAAAATAAATCTATCATTTTCCGTTTAGACGGTTAATCTTTGCAGATGACTCAAAATGGCACAGAGAAACTAAAAAATCAAAGTTCGGCTTTGGGCAACTGAGGTGTGTTTCACTTTCCAGCCAAGCTATTTCAGTGGGTTCCCCAAATAGTAGCCCCATACGGAAACAAGTTGCCACAGCATAAGCAATGCGAGGCAGTCAAGGGCTGTTTGGGGCCGAAGCGAGCCTAGAACTTGACGGAGTGTTTGGGGCAGGGACTGCGTTGTTCAATTTCACGTCATGAACTTGCTTTTGCATGATCCAAAAACAAGCTGTTGATAATTTGACTTGCCAAGGCCGCTTTGGGAACGGAAACCAGCCTCTGTTTGGGGCCGGATTCCTACTAACTTATTTTGTGGGCCATGGTCATGGCTTCTGGGGGAGGACCTTTCCGATCGGTGTCTAAAGTTTCTACAAGGGTTTGAAGACCAGCCCTTCCAAATATGCTAGGCTTCCAAATCCTGGCTGCATCATCCCAATTGCTTACCCACGTGAAGGTGATCAACATCTGCATTCTCCCCATTGCAAATGTTCGCTTTGACTGCGCATCAAAACATGCAAAGCCGACCTCCGCCCGAGATCGGCCGCCCACTTCTGAGCTCGGCGCGACCTGTGTGAAGTCCTGGGTCGCGGTGTCCGGCAAGATATCCTGCAGTTGCAAGCAGTGAATGTTTGGGGTCGACCATTTTCAGCCAGAAGTTCCACGAAGCAAACTTGGAGGCTGTCTCATCTTTGGCCGATACAACAACTTGTCTAAAACTTATTCTGCAACCCAAAAGCTCAAAACTATACTGGAACTTGTGCTAACGTCTTTGTTGCATCCGGAAACAATATCCTCAGGTTGCAGCTTTTCCAGGTCCTTTCTTCCCCAACATTCCCTCGAACCAAAGGAAGAACCATAGGGAGCCCGCTAAGCAAGCCCTTGTGGGGGGGGGGGGGTACTTCCTTCGTTCCCTCACATATTGTGTATGATGATGGATGAGGTCTGTTGCCTCCAAAAGTCCACAGATTTGCAGAGTGGGTTTACCCACAAGAAAGCATCCCCCTCCTCTCTGAGGAATTTTGCCCGAGTTTCCACATCTTGCCACGAAGGACATGAAAAACAAACAAGAGAGGAAGTTCCTTTGTAAGTCATCCCACATCTTCCCCGCTTTGCTCCTCACCACCTCCCCTCTGTTCTTCCCTCTGAGTTTGGCACCTGATGGAAGATTAGATAAAGTAGCAATGGTCTTAAACATCTTCCCAGATCTGCTCCCATCCCCGCTTCAAATGCCTTGGCACAAGGGCGGAAGCAAACCAACTCTGGGTTCGGAGCGCCATGGGTAGTTTCCCCTTGGCGTTCTTTAAAACAGGGAACCATCAAACCAAAACCACGCGCCCTTTGTGAGGGTGACAAACCACAAGGACACCACCTGTTTGGGTTCCCAAACGGAGACAAGACCTCCAACAAGAGCCTCGCCGCCAAGAGCCAAGCGTGTTCGCGCCGAGCCACCGCTGAGGTCAACGCCTTCAAAGAGGCCACCTGCGACCTCTCAGCCCCCAAGAGGTACACCTCCAGGCCGGTGACCTGCGGAAGTTCGAAATGGGAGGCGCTTACTTTGGACACGCAGGTGAAAAAGCAACCAAGACAACAGGGATTTGGAGACATTGGAAAAGCCGGCTTTCCCGCAAGTAACCAACACAACAACAGGTATTGGAAGGTTTCTTTGCATGCTCCATAGCCATAGCTGTCGCTGTTGTGCACGAAGCCCATTTGTGTGTGTGTGTGTGTGTGGGCTAGACGTGGGGATCGTACCTTTTCAACAATATGTGGCGTTCGAACCAACAGAAATGAAGGGCTTGGGTTCAAATACTGTTTAGTTTGATTCCGATCCCTACAGTATGACTCACTTTGCCACTTTGAAGAGAATTCCGCAAGGGTATCACAGGAAGTGGCCCCATTTGCCGCAACCGGAACTACAATGAACAAGCCTCACTCCTTGCGATTTTGGGTCATTACTCCTTTCCATGGCTGGTCGTACCAGGCCTATGAAACAGGCTGAAGCCGAAAGCATGGCTAAAGATCAGTAAAGCGAGAAAGACTGAAACCAACACGCAGAGCTGAGTGAAAACCAAAAGGGAAACGTGGTTTCAGTAAAACTATCACAGAATGACCCCCCCCCAGCCCGCCCATGCTCAAGCCAAGGAACTCATTTGGGCTCCAAGAAGAGTTGTGGGAAATGCAGCCCCTTCCGCTGGGGATACTTTTGCTGTCCCAAGAACAAGCTCTACACCCACAATCCAGCTCGCTGAGTGGAACTTCCCCGCGAACGAGCAAGACATGGCTTATCTTTTGGAGGTGAAACATGGCATTGCTTCTTATTCTAGTTTCCAAAGATCTAGGGGGTCGTTTCCGGATTTCCCATCTTTGGGTTGGAAAAGCTCCCGATCTACTCCACCAATTCTGGGTACCTTCAGGCAGTGCCCGAGAACGGCCTGGGTATCACACAGACTTGTGAGAGGGGTCGAATTGGCTTGTGGGGCACCCAACAACTCGCCAAAAGCCCGCCTGGGCCAGGTCCTCCGGCAAGTTCCAGGTCACCTGGCCCCCCACCTCTTTGGCATCCAGGTCCAAGTCCGCGAAGCCCGTGCCTACAAAGCAGTGACCCCCTTCCCCCAACGCGGGGACTCCCATAACATGGGGTGCAAGGAAAACACCATTGGTACGTACCAGGGCGCACTTGGTTTAGTCCTTACTTACACCAAGGTTTGTCAAAACCGGTGATTAGTTTTTTGGAAATATCTAATGTACTCCTGCACAAGTGCTTACGTTCTGTAGCGGTTGTATAATGGTTGAACAATGCTAGGTGATTGACAACCCTCTAATTTGCAAAGCCGGCAGGAGCCCATCAACACAAAACTCCCATGTACAGGTGTCCATGGCTCATATTGGTTTCTCAGCGTGTGATGTCCGTTAATCATAGTGACATCTCTTTAAAGAAAAAAACACATTGCTGAAAGTAGGGATGTAAATCTGTACCTTCAAAATGAGATCGGAAAACCCAACGGAAACCAGAAAGTACGTTCTCAAACCAAAAATGAATGCAGAGAAAATAAACTTGATCCACCTTTACTTGCCCGGTCGTGGGGAAGAAAGGACTTGCCAATTTTGGCTGGTGAACTTTCGGCGAACTTAAGCAAAGAACTATTACCGATGCGCAACTGGCCCGTTTTGTGGCATATCGAGCCGCAGGATCCTTAAAGACAATCTAATTGAACTTGGGGAATCCCAAGCTAACAACCTCTTTCGGCACACTGTGCCAAGCTGTCAAAAGTAGGGTGAACCTTTGAAGTTCAAATCTGAATGTCCCCATGGACCCCCCCTTGCAATGTTAAGGGAGCCTACAAAGGGTCGGAAGCAACCTGCCAGAAGGTTAGGGGATTCTGCATTCACGGCTAAGTGGAGGTTCATTTGCCGCGGCGCTGGAGACGCTGGCATTGGTGTCCTCCAGCAACAGGCCCGTGGGCGTCGTCTGCTCGAAGAGGCTGGATCTGGCATACCTCAGCTCAGGGGAGGCCCGATTTGGTGTCAGGGAAGCCCACGGCCGCATTTGGGCCCAAACCCATACCTCCAAGTGGAATGCCTTCCTTTCGACAAAAATCCGGCCACCTGTTCACCCTGACGAGGGTGTGGTTCCCGTTTTCAGGGTACTTTTTCTGCTTCTAAAGGGATACCAAAGGAACAAACTCTCATTTTGAGATTTCCAGATCCTAAGTAGCCACAAACCCGCGTCTACCAGAAAAGCTGGCTTTGTCGGCCAGGACGGATCAATCTTTGACATAAATACTAGCAAAGGCAACCCAGACCTCCAGAGGCCGTGCAAAAGAACAACTTGCTTTGGTAATGTCGGACCCGCGTTTGTAAGTGGGGTCGCCTTAACAAACAGTTGTGTCCAAACTCAGAATTATGTGACTGTTTCGAGGCTTGCTTGAATAGAAAGTTGCTCCCCCCTGAAAAGCAAAAAAGAAAAACAAATGCAGGCCTCCGTTTTCAAATTAGAGTTTGTTCGTCTTGGCAACAGCAAAGTAAGAATTAGCAATACTAAAGTAAGTACCAGCAAGTCCAAGTCCAACCCAAGCCCTCGATTTGTTCCCTAAAGAGGCCCTCGGTGACAGGTGGCACGGCACTGTTCGGTCGGGGAAGCAACCCACTGGGAGGCCTGGAGCCAATCACATTTTCTGAAAGTCCGATTGGTTTGGCCCAAGCGAATTTCTCTCCAGCCACCCTCTCTCCATGGAGTTCAGCTGTACCCAAAAAGCGTCTTCCATTAGTTGCAGTCAGCTTGGGGATCCAAAAAGGACGCACTTGCGGTTTTTGTGCCTGTTTGGTTTCAGGGAGAAACTCAGGTTGGCTGCGGGCTCTCTCCTTGCAAGCTGTGGGACAACATCCCTGTTCACCCCTTTACATGGTAGTGAAACAGCTGTTTGGTTTGCTCCTTTCACAAAGGGAGTAATATTATATATAACGAGCGTCTTCCTCTGCTCCCTCAAAGATTCCAAGTGGATCCGGAGGGATCTTCCATGTCCTAGGTTCAGTTGGTACGTGGCTATGTACCTGCTCTTTGATCCTGCCAACGGCAAGTCTTTTTGGACCCTGCGGGTTACAGACAAGT